ATTCCTCTTTCCATTTTATATGTCATTGTGTAATTTCCCCATCAGGCATGTCATCTTGGAGGAGCCTGGTGTCCACAGCAACCAACTTCTATTATCCAATGACCATCCCTGCATTCAGCTAGTACCCATACCTGAGTTGGAGTTTTTAATTTAAAAAAGCATGTTCTTGCCCTGTCCCAACTAGCACAATTACTGCAGTTCCTTGGAAGTCGGGGCTTTCCTGGGGTCACCAGGACACCAATTAGATGGTCCTCATTACATCATATGCGAGTCTCTCTCCCTCTTTCTTCTCACCATCGCCTACCTCCCACATAATAGGGGTGTGCATCAGTTTCAGACAAATCCTGAATTCTGAGATGAAGTGTGGTGCATCAAATGGATTTCTGCCTTGTTGGGTTGCTAATCAGGATTTATATGAGGCTGCAAGAGAGGGAACATGGAGATCTGAAGCAGTCTGTGGAGCTTTGTTGTCTCCAATTTGGAGTTTTCTTACCTAGGAGCACCTATCTCACATCGGCCATTTTGAGACCAACAGCCCACAAAACACTAAGGGGGCAGAGTAAAGTGGTTCCTTTTTCACCCAGCTTAAAACTGGAATGGCTGTTGCTGTGGGAAAAACCAATGCTGCTGTCTTTTGAAATTTGACAGGATTTATACACCCTCGGAAGGGGTGACCTTGTCTGCAAAGTTCATCAAACTCTGCCCCAAAATAGAAAAAGTAAAAATAAAATAAAAGTCAAACTTCAAAGGTGCCAAGCACAAAAACCTCTAAACACATTTGCCTGTAATGTAGTAGCCATTATTCACCCTGGAAAGACGGGTGCCTGCAAATTTCATCCACTTTTGTCAAAAAAAGTTGCTGCCAAAAAAAAAAAATCAATAGTTAAGTAGGGGGGCAGGGATTATGAAGCAGATTTATACAGATGGACCCTCAGCTGAATCAGACAGCTCACAAGGCACTTCTAACTAAAGTAGGCAGCTTTCTGAAGCCCTGAACTAGGGTTCTAAATTTTGTTGGTGGCGCACACCCATACCAATTAGCAAAAAAAAAAAAAATCATTTAAAAATGTATTGTTGCTGTTGTACTATTGTTTTGGTTATTTCAGAGGCTATGTGCTCAGTCTATGCATTTCTGGTGTATGTATCTCTGCAAATGATTTTTGAAAGGCTTTCTCCAGCTACAATGAAGGCCAAAGTCTGTATTCCTTATCCTCTTCTATACAGGGCTCCTCCTCACTGAGTGGACCCTGCCTTTTTAGCTAATGCAAGCATCATTCATACAAAAAGACCTTCCACTTAGGATATAGTTTTATCTATGTAGCAAGCATGGTTTAGTTAGCCGAAGCAGATGTAGTCTTTGTTCAAACCATTCAGGTTATCTGCAAACGAGATGCAATGGCAAATCTCAACATCTCATTGTCTGAGGAGGCCCAAGTGCTGGCAAGGAATTCAGGCAGGCACAGATCAATAAACCCCCTCAAGGCCTTCCTCACTGATAAATTGCTCAGAATGAAGGCGCATATCAAATCTGGAAGATTTATAGCATCCAGCGGCAATTTCCTGTTCCAACCAGCAATCTTGCTGCTACATGGAGCAGCGAGCCAGTCGCTGACTTATAGGGTTGCTGGTTCAAGCTCCACTATGGCTTGGCAGCCTGGTGTTCTCTCATCCTTTCACATTAGTTGGGGGTTTTTTAACATGTTTTATAAAAGTTCAACAGCTTCTCTGTGCATGGGAATTCATATTATTTTCTTCAACTATGGCAAGTACCAATAGGTGACCAAAATGCAGCAACAGACAGCTCCAAACTAAATATCTGTATCTATTTTACAGTAGCGTTGGTTGTAGATCTGTGGATTAAGTCCAGCTTTTACAAGATGCTGCTACAGAACAGGACACAAATCGTGGACATCTGTACCACGGGAAATGACAGTTTCTCAGTTCCACCTACAAGTAACTGGAACAGTATAATCAGGAAAGATGTATGGGTTGTATCTTCAGATATAGCCTTCTAAAACCCAGCCTTACCTGGCAAAGTATGGATTACAGCCATGGTTCTGACTCCAGGCAGGGATGCCCAACACTGAGTTGTAGCACAGGAACTAGAATGTGAACCACTGACAAGCAACACCTTGAGAGGAAGGCACTCTGTAGGACACCCCCTTGCACCTCCCCCCACCCTTTGAAATTGTGTGAGAGTGCACACACAGAATGTGTGCATGTTGAATGTGTGCATGTACGTCAAAAGTGGCTCTGCCTACCACTAGCGACAGCCACAGCTGCCCATGCCCGCTGCCATGTACCCACCTAGAACCTGCCCAATGCCACACGTGGCTCTGGTTAGCAAAGATTCTGCTGATTCCTGTTCTATGGCAACAGAAATTGACAAGTCGTTTCTTCTGAAGGGTAAGAGCAGAGGAGCAGAGTTGTGCCCAGCATTGGGGAGGCTCATAATGTGTGCAGTGTGTGCTGCCACACTTGGCACAATGTTGTGTGACTGCTGCAGATGCTGCAGAGACCAGGGCAACATCTTGCCAGGTTGCACAGCATCTCTCAAAGTGGCGGAGGACAGCAGAAAAAAAGTAAGAGAGAGGGAGGAGGGAGGGGCAGGTGGGCGAGGAAAGGCTCTGCCTCTCCCGCCCCTTCAAGGTTGGGTGGACTAGGCCCCATCCCAACAGACTTTGGGAAGGCAGAAGACACCTCAGGCCTACAGAGCTGGCACCTATGGGAAGGAGTCACCAGACGCTCCCTTCCCAAAGTGAGCTTCCACCCAAACAAGCAGTTGGACAGGTGTTCAAATCCAAACTGAATAAGAGGATCTGTAGTCTTCAGGGACAGTTGAGGCTCAAACGAAAGGAGCTGCTAAAGGCCATGTTATGGCATTTCATGTCTGACTGGAAGGAAAGCATAAACCGAGGGGGTACCAGAAAACTTCCTACTTATCCTAAAGAAACACCTACAGGCCTGTGACATTCTCCAGGAGATTGCTGAAGAGCTATGTTGAGGCTGGTTGGTGAAACACCCCATGGCAACAGCTTTAAACAAAGCACTAACAATTGATTTCTATTCGTTAAAACAAACATACCGTTTGTTTATTTCATTGTATGCTTCCTTGAAAGGCATGGATTCTCCCCCAGGTGCTTTTTCAAAAGAGTTGCTGAGGAATGAGTGCCATGCTCGATCATTTTGCACCATAATAAACTTCCAAGTTAGCTTTGTGCATACAGCTACTCTGGGAAGGAAAAGGTGCTCACCTGAGAGGGGTCAGAACTGAGATCTGGTGAGTTCCTGTTGAAAAAAGGCCCTGGGTGTCACCAGTACAGTGGTACCTTGGTTTACGACCACAATCCGTTACGGAGGTCCGTTCGTAAACCAAAACAGGTCATACCCAAGGCACGCTTTTGCCAATGGGGCCTCAAAAAAAATAATTGTTCGTAATTCAAAAATAATTGTTCGTAATTCAAAAATAATTGTTCGTAATCCAAAAAATTGTTTGTAATCCAAAAAAGGGGCCGTAATCCAAAAAAAGTTCGGAAACGGGGACACACACTTCCGGGTTTGACATGTTCATAACTCAAAACGTATGCAAACCAGACTGTTCGCAAACCAAGGTACCACTGTATGTTGATGTGGCAACTGCTTTCCTGAAGGGTATATGGAATCAGTACTGGGCTCCACAAAGGTGGATAAACTGAAGTTCAATCCGGGTTATGTCTGAGCAATATAGCAGGTGACTCGCTGAACTAGCTAGCTGGAGAAGTGGCCATTTGGGCGGGATTGCACTCTCCCCTGTGGAACAGGCTTGTGGTTTGGAAGTACTCTTGGACTTAGCATTACAGCCAGATTTAGAGTCTCTGATGGAAGCTGTGGCCATTTATTAACTTCAGCTGATTTGCCAGCTACAACTTTTGCTGGAAAACAATGACCTGGCTACAATCCGACATGCTCTAGTAACCTCTAGACAGCATGACTGGAATGCATCCTTTATAGGACTGCCTTTGGAATAGCCCAGAACTTTCCACCGGTATAGAATGCTGTCACCTGATTGTTCAAGTGTGTGCTGGAATGAGCACACCTCACCAGTTCTGATATGCCTGCACTGGTTATCCGAGTCCAGTAGTAAGTGCTAGTTTAGACCCTTAAAGCCCTACACAGCCTGGGTTCTGGCTATTGGGGAAATGCTTCTCCCTTCAGATATCTTCTAAAGGTTGTATAGTTATTTACCTCCTTGGCTTGGGGAGGTCACATAACTCCATACCCTCCAACATTTCTCTGAAGAACATAGGGACGTCCTACCATACCAACATTTCTCCGGTGAAAATAGGGATGTCCTAAGGTGAGGCGGGACATTCCAAGATAAAATCAGAAACCAGGACTATCTCTGGAAAACGGACATTTGGAGGGTCTGCTACTTGAGCCATTGCCCCTCCATGGGAAACCAGAGGCCTAATTGCCCCCCAAGTAGCTATACTGTGTCTTTGCCTTGCTCTCTTCTCTGCCCTGTGATTGGTTATTGCTTATTTCTGTCACTATAGACATTTCCCTTTCCTGTTAGTGGATTACGTCCATTTGACAAAGCACCTAGAATATGTGACTCGCAGAGAACTCCTTGTTCTATCTGCTCTTGCTTTGTTTCATGGCTACATTTCTTTCCCTACTTCCTTGGCCCCACTGATCCTACCACCAACTTGTCTCTACATCCACCAGCACCGCCTTTCGAAAAACTGACCTCAGCTTGCAACTCTGAATTTACTGTAGCCCTTGGTTTGAAAACGGAGAGATCCAAATCTCTCCACTTTTCCTCTGCTAGGCTCTGTGGACTCCAATTAACCCCAGCCAGCACAGTCAAATATCAGGAATAATGGCAGGGGGAGCCATTTTTGAAAAGAGTGGGACTCGCATTTAAACTACCATGGACAGCTCAAAATATTTTTCACTACGTTCAAGCAAGGAGAGTTAATCTGAATAAATTTGCAACCACTAACACCTTAAATGTTTTTAAATTATTTAACTTTTATTACTGTTGCACCATTTATACAATTACATATAATTTCAATGCATCCATTGTACATTTTGCTTTTTCGTTTGTTTTTGTTTTGTTTTTTTCCCCAATGAGTGGTGTATTGGTGTCTGTGACACAGAATGGAAGAGAAACTGGAACTGCAATGAACGCAGAATTTTTTTTTTTTCATTTTTACTGACCAATAAACAGAACTACAGGTGCACCCAACCACGGACATGCATTAAACTCGTCATGAGAAATCTAGGTAGGCTAAGTAGGATGAGAATGCGTTTTTTTTTGTTTTTTTGTTTTTTGTTTTTTTAACTCCCAAAAATATTTGGAGAGGAAGAAGAATCAGAGGATTGGCATTGAGAAAAAATGTGGACAGCTGTGTGAGTTTCGTCTGAAAGCTGCCGTTCATCCACTGCATAAAAAATACAAAATGATAAAGGCTGTAAATTAAAAAAAAAAAAAAAATACAAACCACAGGAAATACTGCTTTCATAAAGATCTGATTGGTGTGGCACTGAGCCCAACTGGGCAGGATCTTCAATTACATCATCACTCCCAAACCCCCCATTAGAGAAAAAGAAGAAAGGAAAAGATCCAAAGATTGGTGGAGTGCGTTTACGAAGCGGTTCACGTACAAAAAAAAGAGGTGCCGCATTTTCGGACATCTGGGTTGCCTTATTTTAACTACTGATTGAAATACAGGACTTTGCAAAGTTGGCAGAAAGTATATTAGATATTTCCCCCACAAAAATACTATTTGGATCCCCACCCCAGCCCGTCCTCTGCCAGAACCAGCACCCCAACCCCCCCCCCCTTTCAACTTGATGGGACAATCTGTTTTTTTAAAACTTTGTTGTTGTTTTTTTCCTTTTTTATTTTTCCTGGGCAATACATATTGTTATTTCAGATCTGAAATGAGTTAGTAGAGCTGGGGGGAAAAAAGAAAGAGAGAGAAAGAGAGAAAGAGAGAGGTAATAATAATAAAAATACACAGGTTGTTTAAAGTGGTTAATTTGTCGTCGTCGCTGCTGCTGCTGCTGCTGCCACCGTTTCGTTTCCCAATAGGCTGTCCAAATTTAATCTTTCACTGCTATGGTTTGATCCGAATTAGTTGCCGGGGCTTCAGATGGTTTTGCTTCCTCTGGCGGGGCCACAGGCTCCGAGGCCTTAGGAGTAGAACTAGGTGCTTCTGTTGTTGCCGGGGTCTCCTTGGAAGAAGGTGCAGCCTCGCTGCTGCTAGGTTTTGAGTCTGAAGCTGGGGCCACTTCACTTTTAGTTTCTTGGGGGGCTGTGGGTACTGCAGGAGCCTCAGTCTTTTTGACTTCCCCTTCCTCCTTGCCCTTGTCATCTACTTTACTAGTAGCTGTGGCTTCTGAAGGCTGGGAAGCTTTTGCATCGCTGCTGGGCTCAGAAGGTTTCGGCGCGTCGCTGCTGGCTGGAGGAGGAGCGGCAGGGCTGGGCTCCTCCGCCTTGGGGGCCTGCTGCTCGTTGTTCTTCGGAGGCTCAGCCTTGGCATCGACGACAGCCTCAGGCTTCTCCGGCTCAGGTTTCTTGGGCTCTTCCTGGCTCGGGGCAGCCATCTCTTTGTCCCCTTCTTTCTCTTCCGCCTTTTTGGCCTCCTTGTCTCCCTGCTTATCCTCCTGGTTGTTCTCCTTCACTTCTGCCGTCTCCGTTGTGGTGGCCTGGATCTGTTCGTTCTCCTTCGGAGCCTCGCCTTCCTCCACGGCTGCCCCCTCAGCCTTCTTGTCCTTGTCTTTGGCCTTTTCATCGTTCACATTGTAGCCCTTCTTCTTCTTGCTCAGTTTGCCTCCCATATTGGAGCCCTGGGGACAAGGAAAGAGAAAGAGGGTTACCCAGAAAGAAGGCCACCTTTTTTTGAGACAGGGTCAAAACACAAAACACTCATGAACTGGCTTTTTTCTCACACCAGCATTGGAATTCGTTGCGGAGAGGGGAATGATGAGCAGTTTACATCACCGCAGACTGTGGGCATAACTGGTACCTACATTCCAAATTTATGTTTGTTTTCTACGGGTCTGACTTCTCGTGGCTTTCCTTAAATAAGGTTGTAGTTTAAGAACAGCTGATCATTCTCTCTTGGAGTCCCATCCGGGACCCCACATGACAGTTCTATAGTTCCCCGGATTCCTCAGGAGAAAGGAAACAATAGTTACACCATTTTAAGTCTATAGTACAGTGGTACCTCGGGTTACAGACGCTTCAGGTTACAGACTCCACTAACCCAGAAATAGTACCTCGGGTTAAGAACTTTACCTCAGGATGAGAACAAAAATCGTGCAGTAGCGGTGCGGCGGCAGCGGGAAGCCCCATTAGCTAAAGTGGTACCTCAGGTTAAGAACAGTTTCAGGTTAAGAACGGACCTCCAGAACGAAATAAGTTCTTAACCTGAGGTACCACTGTATAGCCTTCTGCTCCTTCATATAACTTTTCATACCATAGATCAGAACCACCCAAAGTCCCAATTCTGTCTCTAATAAGACTTTGAACAGTAATACCTTGGCACAGGTGGCTAGATTAGAAAGCAAGAAAAATGGGAATCTGCAATAGAAGGCACGCCTCTTCTTCCTTTTTCTAACACTTCACAGTTGTGGCTGGAAGACAGGCTCTGCATTAAAATCTACACATAGCTACAAGCCAAGGCACTGCATATAGTATCTGAAGTGAGATGTAGCTGAATATCTCTGCCTCTCAGAACATTTTATTATAATAGAATCTCGGTTTTCGAACATAATCCATTTTGGAAGACAGTTCAGCTTCCAAAATGTTCGAAAATCGAGGATCAATGGGCTGGCTGCAAAGTCAATGGGGGGGGATGAAAAACGCACCTCAGAAGTCATTTGACTTCCGAGGCACATTCAAAAATGGAAGCAATTATTTCTGGGTTTTTGGCGTTCGGGTTCTGAATTGTTCAGCTTCCGAGACGCTCGAAAACCAAGGTTCCACTGTATTGTTATTTTTAAACACTTACATATTTTCCTTACAAATGAAACAGTGGGTAACGTTTTTACCCACCATTATTTAACATTTGATAGGGATGTGGGGGGAAATTGCTTTGTAAACCAGACCCAGGATCTCTCAGTGGTATCACTATCTCAAATGATCTCCACCCTATAAAGTAGGCATTCCATAATTCTAAACCTGATATTTCTAGAAAACATAGTCAACCCTTTCATTTAAAAGAGTCTGGTTTGGCAAGTCCATGTCTGCATTCGAACATCTGAGGTTTGTAAATCATGATTTCTAGATTCACGCAAGCATCATTCATCCATGGCTACATAAGCCATATATGTTTATGAGCCTGGGACATGTGTCTGACATGTGCAAGGCTGGTTTATACATGGTTATTCTTCGCTGGGCCTCCTGTGACACAAGGTGAGGAGCTTGTGTCCCTCACCTGCAGTGAGATTTCTGAGCCCAAGAAGGTGTCTTGGACTCACAGCCCTCACTGTGGGTACAATAATCTGTATCCCTTCATTGAACAGGAGAGATTTTGATGCACTGGTGCTCACTGTGAAACAGTTCATAATAAGTGGCAATTTGGCTCCTCTGAAGTTATGAGGTTAGGAGGAGAGCTTCCAAAATGGGCTTCCCACATACCCACAAGAAAGGGCACCCACCACACTTGGGTCAGGAGCACAGTTACTGGAGTCTAGTAACAATGCAGCCACCCCAATTCTCACAACTTGCCCATGTAGGTCACAGTGCACTTATTATATAAAGAAAATGGGAGTTTTCATGCCCATCCAGTCACATTGCACTTCAGAGCAGTTTTGCAAATCAGCAGGAACAAAGATTTTAAACAATAGCGAGAGCTATATTTGCTTGCAGATAGCCAATCCCCAATTAAGCCTCTATTTGTTTGCCCGGCAATGCTTGGATAAAACAAGTGTGCTTTTGTTTGATGTGCCTCTTCCACTTTTTTTCAAAGTCTTTTGCTTTTGACATGGCCAGCAAAATGCCTGCCATCAGGATGGGGGTGGGGAGAAGAAGGCCAAGTAGATGATGATGATGATGATGATTTCAAGAGGTGGGAGCACAATATCTGCTCCACACTCACACGACATATTGCTTCCCCCATAGGCTCATGGCCAGTGGAGGTTAGGAGGTTGGCTAGTATCATGAGATATGACCTCAGCAAAGTGCAGCACTTGATTCTTGCCCATAGGAGTGAATGGGAAGCATGCATTCATTTCAACAAGGTAAAGGTAAAGGGACCCCTGACCGTTAGGTCCAGTCGTGGCCGACTCTGGGGTTGCGGTGCTCATCTTGCTTTATTGGCCGAGGCAGCCTGCGTATAGCTTCCGGGTCATGTGGCCAGCATGACTAAGCCGCTTCTGGTGAACCAGAGCAGTGCACTGAAACGCCATTTACCTTCCTGCTGGAGCGGTACCTATTTATCTACTTGCACTTTGACGTGCTTTCGAACTGCTAGGTTGGCAGGAACAGGGACCGAGCAACGGGAGCTCACCCCGTGGCAGGGATTCGAACCGCCGACCTTCCGATCGGCAAGTCCTAGGCTCTGTGGTTTAACCCACAGCACCACCTGCGTCCCTTCTACAAGAGGAGGGTTCAAAATAGTCCCGTCACTGACTGTCTCACACTCCAAATCACGTCACCACAACTGAGCATAGGCTATAGCACAATTCAACCATCAATCACAGCACACCCCTCACAGGGAAACCATAAAGTCAGATGATAAGGTATGTTTTTCTATTTCTCTGGCTCCATGTTGTGCACACTTGGAGCTCACAAGGAAGAACTGAGAGGGGAACCAGGGAAAATAGGACTTTCCACAAGCAGCCTAGCCTACACATAGGGGAGCTTAAGCACATATTTAGCTTTTCTCTGCAAAGATGGGTGAGGTAGAAATATTATTACTATTTCAAATGGGATAGGGTACCATATGTTGAGGTTCCTGCATTGCAGGGGTTGGACTAGATGCCCCTCAGGGTCCCTTCCAACTCTACAATTCTATTAGTCTATTATTATTCCAAGCTGTTCCACCAGCCCAGTGTTCCTTCCCCTGTGTTTTTATTGCAAAACTAGGTTTTCCATACAGGCTTCTAGAGACACAAAATATTCAAGGTGTTCCCTGAAGTAGCGAAAGTAAATGAGAGAGATTTCTTAAGTTAAATGTTATGATCCCCAAACAAAAGCTCAAGAGATGATTGTAATGCAACAGTAGAGCGATGCTTTCATTGTAATGAAATAAAGCATCACAAAATAATGAGCAAGCTTTTAAGTTCTTAGAGCTCTTCTTCGGGTTGGTTGTTTAAGGAAAAATAAAAAGGGCTGCCAGTTTGTTTTGTAACATAATAATAATAATAATAATAATAATAATAATAGGATGGGGAAGAAAAAAATTGCTAGGTGTGATGCAATAACCTGCAGCTTATGGCGACCTGTATTTGTTGCCCCATGAGGCCAATAGAAGCTAGGGAGAATTTTCATAGGTGAAAATGATGCGGTCAAAGTGTTGACCCCACTCCCATTGTGCCTGATTTGTTAGGCATTAAAAAAAAACAGATCCTTTTCATGAATTGTGCCACAAGGCTTCGCATGTACTCTGGCGATGCTGGGTGCATATATATATATATATATATATATATATATATATATCAGGCACAAAGAAGAAATGGCTGCTTAGCCTTTGTAAACATAAATGGTGTCTCTAGCACTAATCAGAATGCATGGATATTTAAGGCCAGGGGCGTATCATGGGTTGTGGGGGACTGCCAGGGTGATGGCCCCGGGGAACATTTTTCTGAGGGACACTGGCAGGGTGGTGTGAGAAGACAACAGGGTGCAGCCTTACGGTGCAATCCTAAGAATTGCCCAGTGCTTAGGATTTAAGGGAAGGGGGAGTATACTAACCCCTGTGCCAGTACAATGTTTACTTATTTTAGGGTGACGCAGGTGGCGCTGTGGTTGAAACCACCAAGAATCTTTGGCTTGCCAATCACAGGGTCAAAAGTTCGAATCCCTGTGACGGAGTGAGCTCCCGCTGCTCTGTCCCAGCTCCTGCCAACTTAGCAGTTCGAAAGCATACCAGCGCGAGTAGATAAATAGGTACCACTGTAGTGGGAAGGTAAACAGCATTTCTGTGCACTCTGGCACTCGTCACTGTGTCCCATTGCACTAGAAGCAGTTGAGTCACGCTGGCCACATGACCCAGAAAATCTGTCTATGGATAAATTCTGGTTCCCTCGGCCTGAAAGCGGAGAGGAGCACCGCAAAGTCAAATTTGACTGGACTTTACAATCCAGGGGTCCTTTACCTTTTACCTTACTTATTTATTAAGAATGTTTAAAATGCACCCTTCACCCGAAGGTCTGAGTTTGGAAAGCACATACATATTAAAACACATTTAACAATGAGAAGCTAAAGCAAAATATTGCAGCACTAGCGTTCTTTATTGGAAAACCACAAGGCAGTTAAACCGCAGAGCACTGGCAGAAAAGACATTCTCATTGCTTAATGAAGAGCACCCCTTCCCAAAGACCTGGACAAAGATGTGCCTTTTCACCTGCCAACAAATTCATAGAAATGTTGTGGCAAAATGCACCCCAGACAGGAAATCACTCCAAAGACCCAGAACTGTTCTCCCATGGATCCATGCACCATAGAGTACAGGGACCACTGGAAATACATCAGAACAAATATTGAGGATTGGGGCACTTATATATCAGGAGCATGGGATATAAATGGTCCTGTCTAGGATTTAGGGCCAGAGGCCTAGACAATGGCAAGGGAACAGCCAGGACAGCGTCAAATGCAGAAGGTCATGGAAAGCGAAAGTCAACTACCATATTTCATACCCTCCAACACTTCTCTGATGAAAATAGGGACATCGTATTGCATATCCTCCACCATTTCTCCAATGAAAATAGAGATGTCCCCGCCAATATTTCTTCGATGAAAATAGGGACACACTATTCCATACCCTCCAACATTTCTCTGATGAAAATAGAGACATGCTGCCATAACCCCCAACATTTCTCTGATGAAAACAGAGACATCCTAAGGAAAAATGGGACATTCTGGGATCAAATCAGAAACTAGGACGTCTTCCAAACTGGGACCATCCCCTGGAAAACAGGGACACTTGGGGGGGGTCTGATATTTGTCTACATCTGGTCAACAGATCAGACAGGCAGTTGAAGCGTGTGTCAGAATGGGAGGGCAGAAATCCACTCTGGTCCCCCAAGGAGCAGGCAAAGCCCACATATGAAGGAGGTTCTTTGAGTGGTGTGCCTATCTGGGCAATATTTCTAGCAAGTTGTTCAGAGTGTGAGAAAGGAAGGCTGTAGAGGAAGCGGCAGTCTCTTCTTGGCACTTACAAGTCACCTTACAAGTCTCACTTAGCGGCTTCAATATGTGATGAAGCCTTCAGATGGGGCAGCTGACCCACCAGCTTCACGGTGCAAAGCGTGGGATTTCTTGGCACTTGTCAGCTCAAGTGACAAGAAGCTGCAGTTCTCATAAGTAGTCAAGTGCCCAAAATATAACCAAGCAAAAGGCTGATAGGGAAGGGAGGAAATGCCACTACAGGAGAAACAAGAAGTGTCATCTGAACCTCTTGTCAGCAGTCGCTGTGTCTGAAACTGGAAAATTATGAAAGTTTCTTCCCCTTGGCAAATCCTTGACTTCCTTTTTTCTTCTTCTTCTCCCTTCCATAGCGGTCTTGTCAGACCACATTGCTCCATATCCTCTTCCACTGTTTCACTAAGCATTACTCCGGCCTCCCTCTCCGTTTCACCCTGTTCACCATTTTCATCTGCTTTCCAAAATAATCAGTTGCTTCTACGCTTGCCCTGAAGCAGTCTCAGTTCTCTCAGTTTCTGTTCTTCCTCACTTATGGCTCCAGTTCTTCAGGAAAACATCATCATTTTGGAGTATCGGCTTCCCTTCTAGTAGTGAGTCTTCCCCTCCACGGTGGGAAGAATCTTATCTATATCTCTGAAAATTCTTTGGAATGCTACCTTTGCACCCTTTCTGTTCCTGATGCTGCAATATTCTCTTCTTACCTTAAATCACAAGGTTTGCCTGTGGGTCTGACAATCGGTCCTCCTTTTCTCAGGGGCAAAAAGCTTGATTACACAGCTTGATTTATTTAAGTGGGGACCATAGATTTTTCTGCAGCTACTCTGCCCAACCTTGGTTGCACTTCTGTAGATGTGTCCCAGCTGTTTGTGGTACTTCTAGTGTGCTGAGTTTATAGACAACTCTGTCATTTCAAAATGCATAAAATAGAACATTACTCAACCCTCAAGATTTCTATACCAGGTTGCCCACCAAATGGCAGGTGGATAAGCACATCTTAAAGTGATGTGCTGGCTCGGCCCCCTCCTTTTGCCCCTCCTGACAACATCACCATCACATTATTATTATTATTATTATTATTATTATTATTATTATTATCCCCCTATCTGACCGAGTTGCTCCAGCCAATCTGGGTGGCTCCCAACAAAGTATGAAAAGCACCAAGGTTGCAGGTTTGATCCCCATATGGGACAGCTGCATAGCCCTGAATTTCAGGGGGTTGGGCTCTTCGGGGTCCCTTCCAACTCTACAATTCTATGATTCTCTAATCAAACATTAAAAACTTCTCTACATTTGCTGTTTTTATGTCACAAGTCAACTGTGTCCTATAACTTGTTCAATCTGAACAGCAGAGTCCATGAAGAGCTTCAGGGTGGAGGAATGGCAGGGAAACTAAGATGCACAATATTGCTCCTCTGCAGTCCATCACTCCCTATAGAAGAGAGGTGAGGCAACTTTTTCAGCTCAAAAGCCACATTCCCTCACCGAAAACCCTTCAGGAGTCAGATGTCTGTCTGTGGAAGTGGCCAGAGGCAAAACTGGTTGCAGCAATGGGTGTGACGCTGACCTTTGTACAACAGACCAAATTCCAGTCATCCAAAAGTCAAGAGGTGTATATACTTCTCACATCACTCAATCCTCCATCCAAGTACAGTATGCTTACTGTATACTTGTGAAACTTGGACCACTTATAAACGCCTTCTCCAACTCCTTGAAAGATTCCACCAACGGTGTCTCCAAAATTTTTTACACATCACTTGGGAAGACAGGCAAACTAATACCAGTGTACTGGAAGAAGCAAAGATCGCCAGTGTCAAAGCAATGATTCTTCAACATCAACTTCGTTGGACTGGTCATGTTGTGTGGATGCCTGATTATCGTCTTCCAAAGCAACTACTCTATTCCGAACTTAAAAATGGGAAGCATAATGCTGGTGGTCAACAATAGAGGTTTAAAGACTCTCACAGGGCAAATCTAAAAAAAATTTGTATAAACACCAACTGGGAAACACTGGCCTACGAGCGCTCCAATTGGAGAACAGCCTTTACCAAAGGTGTCATAGGCTTCGAAGATGCTCAAACTCAGGACGAAAGGGAGAAACGTGCTAAGAGGAAGGCACGCTTGGCAAATCCACACCATGATCAACTCCTGCCAGGAAACCTACGTCCCCACTGTGGAAGGACATGTGGATCCAGAATTGGCCTCCACAGTCACTTACGGACTCACTGTTAAGATTGTGTTCATGGAAGACAATCTTACTCAGCTATGAGTGCTCGCCAAAGAAGAAGAAGACAGCAGATCACATTCCAGCCATCCAAAAGTCAGCAGTTTATACACCTCTACTCACATCATTCAATCCTCCATCTAGGTAAAGAAGAGGCATTATTCCAATTCAAACACACACTCCAAGCCAGCCAAAAGCACTCAGGCAAGGCTGGTAAGCGATGCAGACCACATCCGATTCAGCCAAGTTCTATTGTGCCTTGTTCTGTGTAGAGCAGCGGTGTTTCTGGAAACTCACCCTGACAGAATTCAAATGTAACAATAAACCATGGTTTGTTGTTCAGGAGGCAGGTAGGCATAAGCTTTAGGTCTTAATGCTCCTTCTTCCTTTTACCCCTTCTTCTACATGGGAGGAGGAGAGATTAGAAGCTTCTGCTTAGTTAGTGGGCAAACCATAGTTTGCCCTCAAAGTAGGATTCTAAGTCAAAACTGTGGTTTGAGCAAACCGTAGTTTGCTACATTTAGATGCAAGAGCAAACGTAGAAAGTGGAAGCTTCTAATCTCTTCGCCTTACGTGCATTTGAGGCGGGCAAAAGAAGCACACAAACCTTAGACTTGTCCTCATGGCAAACCACTGCTTGTCTTTACCTCTGAATTCAGCCTATGCTAATTTTTTTGCATTTGTATTCTAATAGGAAGAAGCACACACCCGTGCATTAGTGTGATAAAATTCATTGCTGAAACTGCAAAGCTGGCCCCTGCACTTCATGCTAATGTCATCCTGGAGGAATTTGACATAAATGGTTCTCTGGGCTGAAGCAGAATCGCTGTGCTTTGCAGAAAACTACTCCAAGCAATAAGACATTTCACAGAACGGTCTGGGCCTTTAACACAGAAAGTTTACAATTGCAGGATGTCCCCAGTGATTTCCTAATGAGATAAGGGTTTGTTTCCCATAACCATCTGGAAACATGTGTTGCATTTTATGATCCAGATGCTGCATCTAATAAAGTTTGCACCAAGGGATGTTGCCATTTGTGGGGCCACATTTCCCAAGTAAGCTGGATAATATTGTTTTTGCCGCAGCAGGATAGCAATGGAAGAAAACGACATATAATTCCCTATAGCAGCATAAAGGGTCAAAAAGTGCAGTGGGGTAACTGCAAGCTTCTCAGTTCCATCAAGAGTCCTAATCAGATAATTACACTACTGGGAAAACACATTTTAACCCTAAAGAGTTCATAACACTAAGAGTCACGCCACCCATCAATCCATCGTGCCGCTTACCAAAATAAAGCAATTAGGCAGAACTCAGTGCGTCACCATGCAAGAACATAAATTGGAACTGGGTGTTGAATCCCACATCCTTAGAACCTCTTCCCCTCTTATTCCCCTCCTCTCTCTTACAGAGTTGAGTTTCTAGCTCTTAAGCTAGAAGTACCCTTGGAAATGTGTATACAATGCCTTGGGAAATCTCAGAAACGGCAACAGAGCTATACTAGATGTTTAAGCCCATTGCCCTTCTCCAGGAATTGTAACAACGGTCAGCCATATTGGGCTTATAGATAAACTGATAGACACAAACACAGATTTTGCTTCATTTGCATATTTTGAAGATATGCCAAAATGGCATCACCATGGCATCCATTTCTGGTTTAGGGCCAGACTATACACAGCTCTTCTATGAGACAGCAGAAGATACAGGGTTGGAGTCTGTCACTCTCTCCTGCAGGAGCATCCCTAGAGTGGAACTCCTCCTAGAGGACATGTTCTCCAGCAGAGAGAAGAAGCAACTTTGCCAAGGCCCCCTTTCCCCAAAAGCAATCTATGGATGGAAGGAGTAATTCCATCCATGGAAGGCTAAGTCTAGATCCAAACCACAAAGTCTTCAAATGCACACTCCTTATGTCAGGCTTGTTAGAACATCGCTAACTGCCACCTCACAGTTGTCATGCGTAAAAAGCAACATTAACACTGAAAGACTGGGAAACAAAGGGATCTGAAAGTGCTAAGGTAATAGTATTGCAACAGATGAATTTGGTGGACTAACATTAGGACAAAGCGGCAGCTGCACAGATGTTATTAGCCCAGAGATGGAAAGAAGATAAAGTCCCTACCAGAGAAGAATGGCAGATCAAGTTGATGGACTATGCCAAAATGGCTACAATGACCAGAAGAAACAGAAATCAGGAGGACCACATTTTAAATAAGGAATGGGGGAAATTTATAACTTATCTTAAAGACCATTGTAAACAGTTAAAATTGTTACTAGGATTGGGATATCACTTGTAGTTTAATGGTGAATTCTGGAAACATTGGAGAGATAAAAGATTTGGATTATTATAAAAGATGCAGGAGGAAATGATTAGCAATAGGACCCACTAAGGGGAGGAGGGAAGTCCAAGAATCTTGTTTTTATGTTGTATGTTGGACATGTGACTATAAAATTTTAATCTGAAAAACGAAATAAATTTACTAAAAAACAAACAAACATTAGGACAATGCAGAGAGAATTAGCCCCAGTCAAGCCATACAGTGGTGATCAGCTACCCAAGCATAACAACAGCACAGCTATCAAACTGGAAACTGCTGCCAGCTTTAAAATAAAGAGCGCCACAACTTATCCAAAATCTTTCCTGTTGATGTACGGCCATCAGTGTACATGGATGGAGTGCTAAAGAGTGAGGGGAGCAAAAAAACACACAAAACAACACATTCCCTGCCTCGGAGATTAGAGTCTCAGTTTAGACAAAGGGGAGAGAGAGAGAAGAGGTAAAAGATTGATTTATAAAATTTGTATGCTGCCCTATGCATGTAGGTTTCAGGGCAGTTACAACATAAAATCATAATATAAAAATGCAAAATACATAATAAAAACAAAAACAAAAAAAACAGCCCAATAAACCCTCTTTCCCCAACACATTTTGAAAGATGTCAATCAGCCAAAGGCCTGGTTAAAGAGGAACATTTTTGCCTGGTGCCTAAAGGTGTATAATGAAGGCGCCAAACCCCTTTCACTTGTTTTGTGCCTTCCTTCACACAAGGACTAATCAGTATTCACCACTTAACCACGCTTCCCATTATATCCTAAACCAGTGACAATGTTCAATTGACCACTGGAGAACCTCCAGACATTGCAGAATTACAGCTTCTGATATTCCTGACAGCTGGCCAAACTGACTAGGGATGATGGGAGTTGCAGTCCAACAAAATCTTGAGGGCTGCGGTTCCCCACGCCTAGTTAATGAATGAATGAATGAATGAATCAATCAATCAATCAATCAATCAATCAACACTCTTTCCCAGGGTTCAGCCCATTCCCAGTGCACCAGCCTATGTGGAAACAACCTACCCAAAAGTTGCTCCCTGCACCAGTGCTGATGTTCCCAGAAACTGGGGCAAACTGGGAAAAGACACCCTATGAGAGTTCATGATGTGAAGTGAGGTGACAAGCGGCTCTGTTTCACTTTGCTGGGCCGGTTTTTGCAGGAGCGCTCTCCTTCCCTTGTAGTTCCCAATATTTTGTAGTCTGGCTGACATTCATCTTGTGTTTTCCTCAGACTCGAACGAAAAGCCTACAAACTCAATGTTTGTTTCAACTTTGAACTCAGGCTATGGTCATTCTCCCCTTGTGCGCTCGAGACCTTTCCCACCAAACAAAGAGAGATCTGGTGCGTGAGTGAAGCTTGACATTACATGGAAAATATGAAAATATTGGTACTAACCGGCAGCTATAAATAGAGGAACGGGGAAATAATACTGGTTCAACAAGACAAAGATGAGCCAAAGTTAAGCCCCCATCCATTTCGATGGAAAAGCTAATCACGTGTTTAACAGGCATTCCACTGGTATCAAAAAGGACTTTTAAATGGATTTACTTTGGCTGGCTCATGTCCAGTGTTTGGAAACGAGGCATCAACAATCCCTATCGCTGCTTTGCTTGGAATTTCAAGTCCAAATTCTGAAAATGGATAGCCAGCTGTGCTTTAAGAATGTTTATATGCCAACAGAAGTAAATACTATTTAAAAGGTGCTTGTTTACAGGGAACATTTGAATTGGAGTGGTGGAGCAGGAGGAAGTTCAAACCAGCTTAAAGCATCCCAAGCTAGCACAACATAACACGAGTTAGGAAATAGGGTGCTCAAGTGCTACTGTAAACAGTAATGTTTCGGCTGCACTGTTCTATCTCTTTCCTCACGTGGGTCTCTTCTTAAGGCCACCCCATGCTTGTTCTGAGAGGAGAGTTTACTTTGAAACTCAAAAAAGTTTCAACTTCACAGTCTGAATTACTAGATTCTCACCAGTTCAAAGCCACGTTGCTGTAAACATGCCATGCAAGATTTAGTTTTGTTTGAAGCTGCATTCCCATCTCGGTTTCAAAACAACAGATTCTTTCTGCGGCTTTAAGCAACATTGGTAGTTTCCATGCATTTCTTCCCACAGTCTTAAAAAACACACACCCCCTTTTTTTTTTTTTTTAGTCCATCCTACTGGGGGTCTCTGTATCGATCAGTGAATTCCAGAGTGATAGATAAATAGAAACACACACACATGAACACACAGCATAGGGCCACCTTCACCTTCATATATGGAAAACTAAGAGCACACCGTTGACAATTTGGTTAGAAGAAAAAAGGGCAGGAGGAAAGGAATGGCAGGTTAGTAACTATCTGTTGCAGTTGCACCCCATTACTTATTACCTTCCCAAACTTGCTATTGTCTTTTCACAAGCAACCAGGCAATTCACTCTTCATTCCTTCATTTGTTACATTTTTTATCTGCAATCTCTTCCTGCAAGGAGCTTAGGGTGGCATATATGGACGTTCCCATTCTCATACCAGCCTCATAGGTAAAAGGTAAAGGACCCCTGGATGGTTAAGTCCAGTCAAAGGCGACAATGGGGTTGCGGCGCTCATCTCGCTTTCAGACTGAGGGAGCCAGAGTTTGTCCACAGATAGCTTTTTGGGTCATGCAGCTAGCCTGACTAAACCGCTTCTGGCGCAACGGAACACCGACACCAGAGCAGCACATGGAAATGCCATTTACCTTCCCACTGCAGTGGTACCTTTTTATCTACTTGCACTTTTTGGCGTGCTTTTGAACAGCTAGGTGGACAGGAGCTGGGACCGAGCAATGGGAGCTCACCCCGTTGTGGGGATTTGAACCGCCGACCTTCTGATCGGCAAGCCCAAGAGGCTCAGTGGTTTAGACCACAGCACCACCGGTGTCTAGGCAGAGAAAATGTCACCCAGAGAACTTCAGGGCTGAGTAGGGACAGCAACGCTGGTCTCTTCTGTCCTAGTCCAGCATTCTAACCATTATACTACAGCAGCTCTCTGTGACATCCGGGTATAGGGCGGTATATAAATGATGATGATGATGATGATGATGCACAGAGGCAAGGATGTATCCAGGGCTGGCCCGAAACATTTTGGCACTTGAGGTGCACCCCACAATGGCTCTCCCCTCCCTGCCAGGGAAGAAGGGGTGAGGGAAGATCAACAACAGGAACAAGGGTGGAAGAAAGATTGACATCAAGATTTGCTGCCCTGGTGGATCCTGCTACCTGAAGCAGTCACCTCACCTTGCCTCATGGGTGAGAGTCGGCCCTGGATGTACCCTTCGCTACATGCCATAGATTTTCACAACCAAGATTTTCAACAGCAGCATTAGCTGCTGGCTGTTGCACTGCAGAGTTGCGACATTTTTGTTGCAGCAGGGCTTACGTGCCTTCCCAGAGTGCACAGCGTGCATGTCATGCGATAGCCATGACATTACTCAGCACGGTGATGGTCATGCCACCTCTACATGAACAAAGATGTTGGCGACCCCATTTGCCTTCCGTGCTGTCAGAACTGACCCGATGCTGCTCAGCCAATGGGACCACTTAACTGTATCTCTGCTCTGCTGATTGGATGGCTGATGGCCCCTCCCACACTCGTTCACTTTGGTTATCTTCATGATGAGGAACACACAAAGCTCAGGATCTGTATTTGGGATGGGAAGCCTTTTTTAGCACAGGGGTCGCATTCCCATTCCCTTGGGTTGTTTTGGTTCTTATTTTTATTTTGTATTTGTTTCAATATTGTGATTTTATGTTGTAACTGCCTTGAGAACAGACAGACAGACAGACATAAATAAATATTCTGAGCAATCTTTTGGGAAGGGGGCACATACTAGAAATGGCTGGGGCTAAAGCATAGCTGTCAACTTTCTCCTTTTCTTGCGAGGAATCCTATTCGGAATAAGGGAATTTCCCTTTAAAAAAGGGAAACGTTGACAGCTATGGGCTAAAGGCAAAAGTGAGTGGATAAATTAATGCACATTTTACCTTTGCACAGCAGGCTAGTTTTTACACACACACACACACACACACACACACACACACACTTATTGGAGTTCAAGGACACATTCCAGCCAGGCAAAAAAAGTCAAGGAAAGCATGCAGAAGGATCAGTAAGAGTGTGTGCTTACTGTGGAAGGACATGTCGATCCAGAATTGGCCTCCAGAGTCACTTATGGACTGTTAAAACCGTGTTTGTGGAAGTCAATCTTACTCAGCTATGAGGGATCGGCAAAGAAGAAGAAGAACCGGAATTGGTGGTGCCATCACCCAGAAGTGTAGACTGGGCTTCCCCATCCAATTGGAAAGCTGGGACCCAAACCAATCAGGGTGTCAGAACAGAGGAAGAGGAGATGCCTTTACTGCTTCATAACCTTCATGTGCTGGCTTGAAGCACTGATACCTCTGTCCCAAAGAGATCAGGGTATCTTAACAGTGGGCTATTAATTGGGACCTCCTCCTTCCCTCATAACAGCAGATCTTAAAAAAGGGGAGAGAATTTCGCTAAACCTGGGACTGCAGAAGTGTATTCTCTAAATTCCATCCCACTGTTGAAGTGTCTCAGAAATGTAGCATACACCCCCCAAAATGCTCCAAATCATGCAAAGCCCAGCAATTCCTTCTAATACTTTTTGCCCCAATGGCAAAAAAATGACTGGAAGGCTCAGGAATCAAGAAGACCAAAATTTCAACAAAGAATGGGGGAAACTTATAATCTATCTTTGAGATCACTGTAAGCAGATGAAAACATTTAGCAGGATTGCAACAGCATTTGTAATGTAGCAAGTATTATGGAGTTATATAAAACATGGAATATTGAAAAAGATGCAGTAGGAAAGGTGTAATAACAGGACCCACGGAGGGGAAGGTGGGAAGTCAAGAGATTCGAAAGAATATTTTAACTGTTGATGAGCATGGTTGTATTGTTATAATTTAATATTTGTAAAATCAAATAAAAATTATTTCAATAATAATACTTTTTGTACCCACCGTGCAGTGGACTATGGAATACTGGTCAGTGTCATAGATATTTTATGGTGGGATTGTTTATTGCCTGGCTGTTCTAGTATGACAAACACCAGGGTCAGATAAGCTCTGATTAGAAGAGCATGTTTATGCTTGTTATAACAGCGCCCAGATAAGAGTGCTAGAACAGAGTAATGGATCCCAAGAGTCAAGGGTTGAGGAGCAAAATCAGCATAGATTTACACTTAAAGAAGCTCAGAGTGAATCACCCATCACCTGGCTACCTGCCTATTGTCAAAGCTAGGCTTATCGTCTGTCTCTCTGACTGATGTTTATCTTGTAGCTCTCATAATGTGAGAAGGGATACCGGCACCTTGAGATCAAAGCGCCCCCAGGGCAAACCCAATGATAAAAGACCTGTGCGTTCCTGAAATCAGAGTCATCACATTCACAAATTACTCTCTCAGACTGATGGGCCACTTTGATGACAGAAGAGTGGGTTTGGTGCAAACTCGCTTTCCAAACTCAGCCAATACCTCAGCAGTGTGGTCTGGCCATTCCTCAGCGAATGAACCACCAAGGGAAGATAAATTTTCAGATGTGCTGGAATATAAGCCACTGTGACTAATGATTGCCTGAGCAACAGACTAATGGCTTCATCTGAAAACCAGGTCCACTCTTACCCTCGGATCACATTTCATTTCAGCCTTTCCTTTGCCCTGAAATAATCTTTGCATGTATCCCATATGCATGCATTCCTCCTTAGAACTGCACCGTCCTTTGAAGTACTTCAGGTCCAGGGTTCCCTGGCAAGAGAGAATGACTCCTAAAACCACCCATATTCTGCATGTAGGTAGATAATTTTTTGTGATAGGAAGTAAGGAAGCAGAGCTCACACAGAGATGGAATTGTGGGATGTGGAGCATTGTTGCTTCTCACCTGACTATTGTTTAAAAAGTTAAAAGGTAAAGGAACCCTGGATGGTTAAGTCCAGTCAAAGGCGACTATGGGGTTACGGTGCTCATTTCGCTTTCAGGCCAAGGGTGTCAGCGTTTGTCCACAGACAGCTTTCCGGGTCATGTGGCCAGTATGACTAAACAGCTTCTGGCGCAACGGAACACCATGACGAAAAGCAGAGCGCACGAAAATGTCGTTTACTTTCCCGCCACAGTGGTACCTATTTATCTACTTGCACTGGCATGCTTTAGAACTGCTAGGTTGGCAGGAGCTGGGGCAGAGCAACGGGAGCTCACTCCATCGTGGGGATTCAAACTGCCGACCTTCCGATCGGCAAGCCCAAGAGGCTCAGTGGTTTAGACCACAGCGCCACCCACGTACCTACACTTGACTATTGAGCAACAGGTGGCATGATAAGATGCTGGTCCAGGCCCAGTCTGAGATTTGCTGAGCCTGTTCTTATGTTTTCATAGAAAAAGTTATGGAGGACAAATGCATTTGTGGCTAAGTTCAGGTTGGTTATATGCTACCTAGAGAAGCATAGGCTGCAGGGAACATCAGTGGGAGCTTCATGCCTTACTTGTGACCTTCCCACAAGCATCCAACTGGCTGCTGGATCTCATTTTATGTTATTATTTTCTTAAGAAAGCAAGTTGCACCAACAGCCATGCCGGTGCAAATGCATCAAAACTGGCAGCTAAAACCACGCATTTTTTAATTTGCATTTTTATTAAAGATCTTCTTGAATTACAAAAGTACATACTGTAGAGTGTCTCAGTTTTCTGTTCATAGAATCTTTTCTACAGATCAGCTATCTTCAATGTGAGACACTAATGTTATAGATAAAGGCTGGGAAAGAAGAGAGGTGGGGGGGGAGAGAGAAGATTAGGATAGTAAACTTTCATTTTTTTACATAGTGTACGTGCAAGGTTTTTGTGCCAACATCATGTTCGTAGGTTCTCTTTCTATTCACTTATTAGTTTTCGTTAGTGGTGAGAGAAGTGAACTTTTCATTTCAGAGTAAAAATCTTCACAAACACCCAAAAAGATGTCAAATAGGCAGACCTATATCATGCTGTCCAACATTTCTCTGATGAAAATAGGGACATCCTATTCAATAAGATTAAGAAGAATTTTGTACCTCACCCATCTGACTGGGTTGCCACTCTGGGCGGCTTCCAACATATAAAAAAACACAATGAAACATTAAACTTTTTTAAAAAAAAAATCCCTATACAGAGCTGCCTTCAGATGGCTCAGGGGTCAGATACCTCCATACCTTCCAACATTTCTCCGATGAAAATAGGGACATCCTACCTTTCCCTCCAACATTTCTCCGATGAAAATAGAGGCATCATAAGGAAAAGTGGGACATTCTAGGATCAAACCAGAAATCGGGACAGCTTCTGTAAAGCTGGAATACTTGGAGGGTCTGCAATATTCAGAAAACTAAGTGTTTTTTAAACCAACAGAGCTGGGGGTTTTAAATAGTAACTATTCTGGCAATATTACGAACTGTCTGGCCTTGCTGAAGAGGTCTGGTTATGCAACACCCTTTCAGCTAGGCAGCACACTATTTGAACAAGGTGTTGGAAACTTTCATCTAGTTAAGAGCTATCACTGTGTTGCTCTTTGAAACCAGCAAAGCTGCAAAGGCTTTCATTTACACAACATGGTGTTATCACCATCCTTGCAGAGATGGTGTTGTGACTAGCTACACCAAAGTACATGTTTGAAATTGGAGGCACCGACTTATACCAGCCACACAGAAACCAAAATATTTCCCTTTAAGACCATAACGTCTCAAAGGCTACAATTCAGAGTAATGTAAAAGTAATTAAGCTTTGCGGAATCACAGGACTTACAAACAAGAGTTAAGCACATAAATCTCATGTATTTATTTTGGACTCCAGCTCAGTTCTTTCCTGTATTGCGACTCCAAAGGGACAGTACTCACATGGTGAATATTTCAGCATAAAATCCATCCCACTTAAATGCAAATAACAGCACAGTCCTATGCATGTCTGCTCAGAAATAAATTCTATTGCGTTGCAGAGGACTTACTCCAAGGTTAAATAGCAGCAGATTTAGCAGCCTTCCGGGTGTTTTGTACCACAACTCCCATCAGCTGCTGGCTGGTATGTTACATGTGAATTGAACCTCAGCCTAGTCTACTGGAGACTGCGCAGAAACCACACCTAAGCCTCTTTGGGCTTCTAAAAGAAACTGAATATAATGAGCAAAGAACCTGGGGAGGAGCAGAGCAGAATTTGCACACTCGTTTGCTGCTTGCTTTTGGAACAGGCTTGTCCCTTTATTCCGTGGGAAATTTCATGGTCATAAAATGGCCCTCTGGGCTGTTCTATCTGGCCCCAAGCCATGTCCCCCCCCCCATTTTGCTTGCTGGAATGTGCCCTGGAACGTTGATAATGACTCTATCTTGTCTGGGTGGATGATAGAGAGGGATATTTGAGGGTGTGCAGAAACTGACCTGCTATACAAAGGTAAAATTTGCATTCATTGCACTGCCCACTTTTGCCTCGGGCCCTATCCACCGCCTCTCTTGTGGGGCCAGAAGCTTCTCACCCTTTGTTTAGTAGAAACAGACAGAGTGAAAACTGTTTTAATAAAAGTCCCTTCTGTCCATTTCCAGTCTCTGCCTGCATTGCCAGATTATTGAACATCCACTGCATTCGGTGCAACGATAGCACTGTCTATAATAGAAGCCTACAATATCTTCTTTGTGGAAATGTGCTAGGGTGGAAATAAGCTATTTGTCAACTTTTTTACCCCATGCCCTATTGGTAGGATTTCAGACATTTGAACTCCATTGTGAACCTGGGTATTGTCCATTCATGCTGAGTTTTTGTGTACACAGGAAGCTCGCAACGCTTCCAGATTTCTGTTGCATTTCATTTTCAGTCGTGCATGTTCTCCGATGACAACTTATCCCCACTTTCCCCCCTTCCGGATTGTGGTTGAAACCATTGCCTACTGCTTAAACCCACAAAAGAAAAGAGCAAGTTCCTCACAGGGCAAAGGAACCAAGCCAGAGTCCCATGCTTGCACTGAAAGCAGCGACACAGAAGATTCCTCTATTCTGTTCTGCTTTCCCACACATTAGATTAAGGTTCATAGTCATCCATGGGCTTAAGACATTTCGGGCATGAGGTATTGAATATCGAGCTTATTAAGTGGCTTAAAAACACACCTGGGCAGGAGACGATGACTTGCGTGTCAAAAGAAGACCGTTAAATTATATAATATCTTCTACGATGGTTGCAATAATCAGTGGGGCAGGTGGTCTGTGGGTGACAGCAAAAAGCCCAGTCATGTACATGACATGCTGGCAACCACATAGCACCAGGCTGAAGCAGAGTACTTCCCTTTCCCTTCCAGTCTAAACAAGGCTGGTTTCACAACCCATTTCTGAAGCTCATATGATGCTGTGTGCCTTTTCACCACCTCTCAAGTTTCTACATCTCAGAATCGTCTTTTACCAGCTTGTTTGGGCAATGAACTGCTCGTGTCAGCAAGTGGTTTATGTGGTGCAAGTGAAAAGAATGCACTCACTGAAGTGTCAAGAACGCGTTGCACCGAGGCAGTGGGAGAAGCCATTCAACAAAGGCTGCTGTCAAAAGGCCAGAAAGTATCCTTGCCTAATGTTATGCTGGCCACCACCCAGTGCAAAAAGCAGTATGGTTGTCTGCGCATGTGCGCATGTGTGTGCAAATGAGCTGCAGGAAAGCCCATCTGAACTGGATTAGAGTCTAGTTTTACTGGCGATTGTAATCCTAACCCCTCTTGCCTGGGAGGAAACCCCACTGTATTCATTAGGATTTACCGTATTTTTTGCTCTATAAGATTCACTTTTTCCCTCCTAAAAAGTAAGGGGATGTGTGTGCATCTTATGGAGCAAATGCAGGCTGCGCAGCTATCCCAGAAGCCAGAACAGCAAGAGGGATTGCTGCTTTCACTGCGCAGGGATCCCTCTTGCTGTTCTGGCTTCTGAGATTCAGAATATTTTTTTTCTTGTTTTCCTCCTCCAAAAACGAGGTGCGTTTTGTGGTCTGGTGCATCTTATAGAGCAAAAAATACGGTATTTATGAGTAGGAATGGTTAGAATTGCACTGTAAAATGCCATGCTGTGGATCTTGGAGCAATGCAGGTGCGATGCATAAATCAACAAAGGCTTGTGGTTAACAGTGATGCTAGCCATAGGGTATATCTAAATCAGGGAGAAGGGAAGGTGCAAGATCAGTATTATATTGGCAAGTTTTCGGCTATCTCACCCCTTGCCCATGGAAGCCTTCTAAGTGGCTACAGGAAAGGGCTTGTGAACAACACCATACCATGATGTTTATGTAATCTTGCTACATTTATAGTATTGAAATGTGTGTGTGGGGGGGTGTATGCTATTATATTTGCTATTGGTTTGCTATGTTATTATGAAATTGTTTTCGTTGCGTTTGTTTGAAATGCATTCCTGTTTTCTTTGTTGTAAGCTCCATTTCCAAGCAGAATTCAGCGTGCTGGTGCTGACCTTTGAAACCCTAAACAACCTTGGCCCAGTATAACTGAAGAAGCGTCTCCACCCCCATCGTTCAGCCCGGGCACTGAGGTCCAGCTCTGAGGGCCTTCTGGCAGTTTCCTCACTATGAGAAGTGAGGTTACAGGGAACCAGGCAGAGGGCCTTCTTGGTAGTGGCGCCCGCCCTGTGGAACGCCCTCCCATCAGATGTCAAGGAAATAAACTGACTTCTAGAAGACACCTGAAGGCAGCCCTGTTTAGGGAAGTTTTTAATGTCTGATCTTTTATCGTGGTTTTAATATTCTGTTGGAAGCCGCCCAGAGTGGCTGGGGAAACCTAGCCAGATGGGTGGGGTATAAACATTATTATTATTATTATTATTATTATTATTAGTGGAAAATCTGCATACAAATAAAAATGAATGAAGATATGTAGAAGGCTAGATCCAGACTGCCATTTCTCTATCATACGAAATTTTACGATTTTATCTGTTTGCCCCATTAGGGACACAAACTTTCAAAAGGTTGCTTGGTTGCAAGCAAGTGCAAATGGATGAGACTTTTTAGAAGGCTGCACATGTTTTTCACTACTTACCAAAACCAGAAGATGAAAGGCGGGTGGAAATCTGGATATTATAAGTCTGGAAAAGTCTGGTAGAAGACAAGGAGACCAACAGACAGAGGGAGAACATGAGAAATGGGACCATAAAGAGTCAAGTTGTTTGTGAGAATTGGATGGGTGATCTGTCTGTTTTTAATGCATTTCCTTTGTTCCTGTATGTGGGATGGTCCTCCAGATATTGCTAGACTACAACTCCCATCATCCCTGACCATTCATTGGCCATGCTGACTGGGGCTGATAGGAATTGTGGTCCAAGTCATGTAAGGTTATGAAAGCTTTCTGGGAGATGATATATAATGAAATGGGAAAAAAAAATGTTTAAAATTACTTTTGTTAAAAAAACCAGAAGCTTTTCTATTAGGAATTATAGGTACTGACATTCCAAAGGAACAGAAAAGACTTTTTATGTATGTGACAACAGCTGCTTGGATGCTACTAGCCTAGAGATGGAAAGAAGAAAGAGTCCCTACTAGACAGAAAAGGCAAGCCAAGCTTTGATGGACTTCCCACTTGTAATGTAACAAATACTATGGATAACATGGATGGATACAAAATATAGATTATGTAATAATATGCAGTTGTAAAAGTTGATAATAGGACCCATGAAGGAGATGGGGGGGGAAGTCTAAAGATTCAGAGCAATCTCTATATACGGATATGCATTTGGATTGTTATCAATTTTTATTTGTAAAATCAAATAAAAATGATTTCTTTAAAAAAAGGAACTGTGGTCCAAGCCACATATGGAGAGCTACAAGTTCCCCAACCCTGAACTAGGCTATATTGGCAAGTGATCTCAACTGCAGAGAGAAACACATTGATTTCTGAGCACATCTGTTTTATCGTTGCCGACAGCCATAAACGCATTCATTCATCCCTTGGTGTTTTAAAGAGATTGCCGTATTAAGTTTAATGGTCACGTGGCGACATAAAACCAATGGAAAAGAACAAGTATCAGGTGATGGTCAAATCAGGCACACACTTCCAAGAAAAACTCACATGCACTTCCTCCTTATGTTTGTTGGAATGGTGTAACTCAACAGAATTATTATACACTCCCTGGATAGAATGTCAGAGCGACCTAAAGGAACCTGTGTATTCATTCCCATTCATGTGAATAGAAATTGGACATTATTCCTCTCCTATGTGATTCTTTTTCAACAACGAAAAAAGCTCAGACATAAAATTAAACGCATAGCTTTCAGACTGGGAAGTTAATTTATCAGACACAGCTCAGTTGCTCTAGAATTCAGCACAAAATAGATTTCTGTTTTCAGGTCACTTGAACCTCATTTAGTCTTCTTTTTCTTTCTGCTTAGCTTTCAACTGGCATTTATCGGCAGCTCATGAATCACAAATATGTAAAAATGTGAATACTAACTAGAGGGGATTTGTTATTTTCAGTCTTTCATTGGTTCCAGTTCTTTTGGTGTGTTAAGATATCACCACAATGTAACCTGATGTGCCGGAAGAACAAATTCCATGGACTCTGTGTGTGGAAGGGACACTTTCCATTCTCGTGAACACATCTATAGAGATTTGAAAAGCTAAATTCAAATTCCATATGCAGTGTGGTTAACCACAATGCTACACACCAGGATCAATTCAAGCAGTCATTGTCATAAAATGATTCTCTTTTTCAGTAAGTTCAAAATGGAGTCCATATGAAACTTGATAATTTGAAGGACCCACCATACATACATTCAGATTAGCAACCTGAATTACACCAGTGTGGCATAATGGTTAAAGCAGGGATCAGCAACATGCAGCCCATGGGCCACAAGCAGCCCATGGGGGTCGTTTAAATGGCCCACGAGCCGCCCCCGAACCAAGCCACCCGCTTGGTGAGTCCCCCCGCGCTGCACTAAAGCAGCGCAGTGCAGAGTGGGGACTCGCTTCCACAGCACCGGAAATCACGTCTGCGTGGATGCTGATGCCGGAAATCACATCTGCGCAGACGCGATCCAGCCCATGGAGCGATCTCCACGGGAGTGAACGGGCCCAGCAAGGTTAACCTTGCTGACCCCTGGGTTAATGTGTTGGATCAGGACCTAGGAGGATAGGGTTCAAATCCCCACTGTGTGATCTTGTGCCAGTCACCATCTCTTAGCCTAAACTACCTCACAGGGTTTCAGTGGGGATGAAATGGGGTAGAGGAGAACCATATTAACCACCTTAAGCTCCTTGGAAGATAAAGGTGGCATATAAACGTAGCAAATACCGTATTTTTCGCTCTATAAGACACACCAGACCACAAGACGCACCTAGTTTTTGGAGGAGGAAAACAAGAAAAAAAATATTCTGAATCTCAGAAGCCAGAACAGCAAGAGGGATCGCTACGCAGTGAAAGCAGCAATCCCTCTTGCTGTTCTGGCTTCTGGGATAGCTGCACAGCCTGCATTTGCTCCATAAGACGCACACACATTTCCCCTTACTTTTTAGAAGGGAAAAAGTGAGTCTTATAGAGCAAAAAAATACAGTATATATAAATAACCTGAGCTAAAAATTGAGTCTGCTGAACACCTTCAGGCCTGAGATATGCCCAGTTCACTAGACTAGGATTACGCTGGATCGACAGGATGTAGCAAAATGCAAAAATCACGTGCAACGAATGCTTAGGAGTCACCCAATCACATTAGAAAAAGTGCTCAGAGAAAGTGCATGGAGTAAACATTAGAATTACAAGCTCACTGCTGTGTCCTAATGAAGGAAGCAGAGGGAGAAAATTGCAAGGTGCAAGAGTTCTGTGTTAATCAAACAAGGAGTCTTGTTTGCCAGGTATGTTTGCAAACATGTGTATCACACACATCTATTTGTCGGGAAGCCAGAAACAGCATTGTACTAACAGTGGCAAAACTGGTTTTCCCACTCACACATAAGATATGCCCAGCACAAAAAGAGAAAGATATGTGAATTTATGGTGCAATGAGGCTTTTCACGGGACTGCCTGGGGGTACGGGGGGCGGGTATTTATTTGTTGAAATGCATTGTTTGAGTAATTGTAGGTCTGAAACCTTTTGAAAATTGGACTGGTAGGGCAAAGGTTAACACAAACCCAAAAGTTGACCTCCTCTTATTGGGTTGAGAAGGAACCATCTGAAAAAGCCTCTACAGTGAGGAAAGTTTGCTTTTCAAGTGGCTTTGTTTTTTCCTAAAATTTATTTGATTGACTATGCGTTTAATTACAGCAATCTCTTCTCATAAATGACAGGGGGATTATTTTGAGTACCCTTCTCACTGGGGATATTTGGGGTAGGGGTGGCAAACCTGGGTCTGTCTGTATTCAACAAAGTTTATGCTCTGCAATTAAGTAATAATAATAATAATGATAATAATAATAATAATAATAATAATAATAATTTATTATTTATACCCCGCCCATCTGGCTGGGCTTCCCCAGCCACTCTGGGCGGCTTCCAAAAGAATATTAAAATACTGTGATAGCTATGGTTCCTTCATTTTGCTCTTTTTCTTTTCCCCCAGTTCACAAAAGCAATCTTCAGAAATCACCGAGGCACTTTCCTCTGGCAAATGTACTAGTTAACAGAAGAATTTCTACCTTTTCCCTTTCAATCCAGTTCACAAAGGAAGGGTGGGAAAGAAAGAAATAGACCAACTGGACTCCCTGTGCTCTGACTAATTTGAGCTAGGCCAACACTGTGCCCCAATCTGTCATGGTCAGAAACCACAAAAATGCCATTCCAATCTTAGTGCTTCCCTTCTCACTTCCTTATCTGATTTTGGTGGACTTACTTCAATGTGTTTACTGCCATTTCGGACAGGAAAAAATAAATCTTATACTGGCATCAGTACAGTTCTTCTATGGAATTTATTTTTTTTCAAAGCACCCCATAGTGGCCTTGAAAGATTAGAAGGTTTATGCACTCCTGTTGTTTTTAATAAGACTTCTGTTGAAAGAGGATTAACTTTAAATTTAGAAACCAGGCACAGACTTGGGCTTGAAGGGTGAAGCTGTCAGTTTGGGGCTGACTTTGCTGAGGGAAAAGTTCAGTTCTGCCGCTGACTTCAACAAGTGCAAGACTGAAGTTCAGAAGGCACACAACTGAGGAGCTTTTCACAATCCGCTGATCCCGCCAACGGCACATTTCACTTACTAACTGCCTTGCCAAATGCAAGGCGGCTCTTTTAAAATGAGATTCAGAGGCAATAGAAACAGTGGGAAGATTAAAGATTTTACTCTAAACAGCAAGCATTACACTGGTACCTCGGGTTACATAAGCTTCAGGTTACATACCCTTCAGGTTACAGACTCTGCTAACCCAGAAATAGTGCTTCAGGTTAAGAACTTTGCTTCAGGATGAAAACAGAAATCATGCTCCGGCGGCACGGCAGCCGCAGGAGGCCCCAGGTTAAGTACAGACCTCCAGAACGAATTAAGTACTTAACCCGAGGTACCACTGTTTATACATTACCAAGCATGCACTTCGATATGCCACTTGGAAGCCCTCAAGAAGTGGCGAAGGGACTCCACCAGGTAGCCTCAGTTTGCACAGCCCTGTGATCGATGAGTCTGGGCACGAGCTTCTGAAAAACTATGCCCAACACCATTTGATTTATAGAGATCGCTATATAGCTAGCCTGTGGCTTGCCTGACTGGCGACTTGCAGATTATTCATTAGCCACCCTCTCCCAATGCCTCACTTTCTCCAAACAATGTTCAACATCAAAGAAGGTACCCAGTACTATCGCTTCCTTCCAACAGATTAGAACATTAAAGGCTGTTCTCAGCCATCAAAGAATTTAACAAGCGAAAGGGAGGGGGAAGGAACAGGGGGCAGGAAGCATAACCATGTTAGAGGACTATCTCCTTGAAATACAAATATATTCCAGATAGATTGCCCACACACTAACTTTTTCTCAATCATCCTCTTAGTAGAACAACTAGGCAGGTCCTTAAATATTCCCATTTTGCAGATTTGGAGCTGAGGTTTAGAAATATTGGATTGCACAAGGCCACCTAGTTAATCTAGGGTGGGGCAGAGTTAGTCCTTTTGTCTCGCTGAATTCCTGGGCCTTTAATTACCATGCAGAACTTCAAGAGGAAAACACAATTCTGATCCCTTTTGTCCATGTCAAGAAACATTTGTCTGCAATATGTTTACCTGTTAAAAAGTAAAGGGACCCCTGACCATTAGGTCCAGTCGTGGCCGACTGGGGTTGCGGCACTCATCTCGCTTTATTGGCCAAGGGAGCCGGCGTACAGCTTCCGGGTCATGTGGTCAGCATGACTAAGCCGCTTCTGGCAAAGCAGAGTAGCGCACGGAAACGCCGTTTACCTTCCCGCCGGAGTAGTACCTATTTATCTACTTGCACTGCGTGCTTTTGAACCTGTTAGTCAGCTGTTAAAGGCACAGGAGTCATACCAAAAGCAGGATTATTTTAAAAACCCGCAGTTTCATAAGAGTATATATATTTAAAGTAGATACAGTGGTACCTCGGGTTACATACGATTCAGGTTACAGACGCTTCAGGTTACAGACTCCGCTAACCCAGAAATACTGCTTCAGGTTAAGAACTTTGCTTCAGGTTGAGAACAGAAATCGTTCTCCAGCGGTGCGGCAGCAGCGGGAGGCCCCATTAGCTAAAGTGGTGCTTCAGGTTAAGAACAGTTTCAGATTAAGAACGGACCTCCGGAACGAATTAAGTACTTAACCCGAGGTACCACTGTAATCAAATGAGCAAATTAAATGCATTTGGATATGCAGAAGATATTCAAAAACAAATTCAAGGAACCACAGAAAGAGGAAGGGAGTCAAACTTTGAAATGTTAAATTGATTATAAAACTAATGAAATGTATAAACCTGAAAAGTATAAATAAAAACTTTTTTTATATAAAAAAAAGATGTCATACCAGAAGCACACACATACATTTATACACACAAAACATCTGGTCCAAGCCCCAACAGACTGCCTGCTCTTTCTTGGCATAGGCTTCATCTATACAGAGCTGTGGGACCCCAGCCCCCAGCCCCCAATTCTCAATGAAAGGGCTGGGGACCCCCAAAGTGCAGTGACAACTGTGTGGGCACACCATGACACAAGCACATGTGACATCACCACGTCGTGAGTGACGTCAGCACACTGTAGGGCGTGGTGATGTCATGCACACATGCCGTGGGGCATGGTGACATCACACAGCTCCAGATGCAAGCCGGCGCCATTGGTCCTTGGGGTGTGGCATGTTCCTTGGCAACTCCCAGCTAGAGAAGACTCCTCTTCATCGTGGGCTGAGCAAATTTAAGCTGCTCACCCCACTCAGATGCCTCAAAAGGTCCTCAATAGGAACTGTGGCCTAGGAACTGCCAGCTACCAGCTGAGAAAGACTTGGGACAGTCTTGGAATATGCGCAGCTTGCAGACTTAACATATAGAATAAGACAGGGGTCATCAAACGTTTTCAGCAGGGGGCCAGTCCACTGTCCCTCAGACCTTGTGGGGGACTAGACTATATTTGGGGGAGGGGGAATGAACAAATTCCTATGCCCCACAAATAACCCAGAGATGCATTTTAAATAAAAGGGCACATTCTACTCATGGAATAAGAGAACATGGAGAACATATGTTTAGAGAAGATTGGAAAATGTTTATTGAATATTTGGAGGGTAAGTTGTGTACACCTGAAAACAGTGGCAGCATTAAGATAAATTCAACAGTATAAATAAGTTTTGATGGATGTAATAATGGAATACTGAATATCCAGGGATTTAGGATCTGCAAAATGAACCATGGAAAGAGAAGAAGGGAAGTCATTGATATTTTAAGGATGTTTAAATGAGTATTTTAAATTGTAAAACAGAAAATTGTGTGTGTGTGTGGATATATATTTGTGTGTGTGTGTATATATATATATATATATATAGTGGTACCTCGGGTTAATTACTTAATGAGGTCCGTTCTTAACCTGAAACTGTTCTTAACCTGAAGTACCACTTTAGCTAATGGGGCCTCCTGCTGCCGCTGCGCCGCCGGAGCACAATTTCTGTTCTCATCCTGAAGCAAAGTTCTTAACCTAAAGCACTATTTCTGGGTTAGCGGAGTCTGTAACCTGAAGCGTATGTAACCTGAAGCGTATGTAACCTGAGGTACCACTGTATTGCAGCGCTCATCTCACTTTATTATTTTTTTTCATTTTAATTTTTATTAAGTACAAATTAGAAAACATACATATTTACAACAAAAGAAAATACAAAAAAGAAAAAGAAAATACACATAACCAAGGAAAAAAATTAGAGAATACTTTGTCTCTTTTCATATTTACAGTTATTTATACCTCTATAAAATGCTATTCACAATAAAGGAGTGAAATGAAAGATAAGATATCAGAAAAAAAGAACAAAGAAAAAATAAAGAAGTAAAAGAAATAAAAGATAAAGATCGTAGGTGAAAATTTTTAAAAGTAGATAAGTATTCACTATACATAGCCATTTCCCATCTATATTTATATTCAATTGTATAATTGAATATGACTTGGGACCCATCATGGGACTCACATGAGGTCTAGTGGCTTAGCCCCAATTGCCTCAGAGACCCTCAAAGTGGGAATACAAAGAATGATGGAGGAGAGGGGAGGAAAAATGCATCCTGCTATTTCTGATCATGTGTACAAATTTTCTTGAATGCAATTATATTGTGCAAATATTTTGGAAGCCAACTTGAGAGCCTCAAGGAACAACAAAGTGGGACAGAAGTATGCGAAATAAATGCTATAAGTATCTTTGGCGAACAGGAAGCATTTCTTGAACGCTGGCCTTTCACCTTGGTTTGGAACTTGTAGGTTGAAGGCAAAAAAAGCGGTCTCCCTTCTCTGAGCAAATACCACTGCCAGAAGACTGGAATGACTGGAATGTATTCCAAAAAACCAGCACCCTGGGGAGCTGTCCCTAAACTGGCAATGGTAGATGTTTAAGAACAGAATATAGCATTGTCCACATTCCAAGCATTCAGGTGCCAATGTATTAAGTTATAGCCCACATTAAGCTATTGTAGCCTGAGGTGAAGGAACTCTCAAAGAATCCCAGGAAGATTTGGGAGGGAAGAAAAGGAGATCAAAGAGAGAGAGATGGCAAATTGGCTTTTCTTGACACATTTTTAACTAGAATAAGCTAAGTCACAGTCTGAGAATCCTTTGCAGGAGCAGTGCTTTTGAACAGAAGATCCAGTACTACCCTGTTAAAGAGTTTTCCCTAAGCTTGAAATAAGTTGTTTGTCCTGTGCTTTGGGGCAGAGGGCAGAATCTTTTGACAGAATCTTCTTTTGGTCTGGAATGTCATTTCCTTTCTGTTGGAATTGACTGCATGCTACCTAGAGGCAAGGCTGCTTAAAGTGGTATGATACTGCTTTAAACATTAAGTGTGGCCTTTGTCTTTTATTTAGCACTGCTGCAACAGGGATTCTCATTCTTTTTCCAACTCCTCCTAACAACAGCATTGTGAAGTAAATCACCACAATAGATTCAGCTCCTGTTTACAAGACGTAGGAGTGACGTAGATGAATAGGGATGGAGGGAGGAGTATCCCTTAATTGGGAGCGCCGCCATTTCTAGGGGACGTGTTCTTTATTCTCTTGCTGTGATTATTAAAGATTATAACTGGTAAGGCGTTCCTTTCATTTGATCTCTTATCTACTGCCACGGGGGAAGGAAACAGATTCCCCGAAGCCTGACACGGTACCAGATTCAATCCCAGGAATCTCCCGTAAAACGATATTGGATAGCAGGTCTGTAAAAGGATCCTGGAGAGCCACTGCCACTCAGTGTGGCAGCTAGACCATCAGGCCCACAAGGTGACTGCTAGGGTCATCCACACACCCCAATGCATAATTGTGAGGAAGAGAACTTTAATTTGTGATGAGGCATTGAAGTGATTGCCTGAGCCACCACTGCTTCGCAAACTGGTGGTGCTGCAGGCAAGCTCTGTGGCCATCTCAGCCACCCAGTGGCATAGCGTGGGTTGCCATCACCCAGGGCAAAGCAAGCATCCTTGCTACTGCCCACTGGCAGGCTGGAACGAAGGGGCAATAACTCAGTGACCTACCTGAGTGGCTGATGCATGAGCGTCAAGCACAGCAGATGGGAGATTGGTTGGGAGCAGGTATCTTTCTAGAATAATTTTTATTTGGTTTTACATATTCAAAATTGTAATCATACCACAACATATCCACAGCTGGAAGATTCCTCCAAATCTCTGGAATTCCCACCTTCCCCTCCATGGGTTCTGTCGTTAAACCTTTTCTACTGCAACTTTTTTCAAAAATCCAAGTTTTTTATAACTCCATTATATCCAAAGTTCTCGTTACAGTACAAGTGTTATTACAGTCCTGCTCGTGTTTTCAACTGCTTTAAGGTAACTTATAAATTTTCCCCATTCCTTATTAAAGTTTTGGTCTTCCTGGTTTCTGAGCTTTCCAGGCAGTTTTGCCATTTCAGCATAGTCCAACAACTTCACTTTCTGCTCCCTTGGAATTTCAGCAACTACAATTCCTAATAGAAAAGCCTCTGGCTTCTAAAATATTTTAAACATTTATTTTTTTTCAGTTCAGGAAGCAGGTATCTTTCGAAAGCCCGTGCAGAGGGTGCCCTAGCAAACAGCCATTGCCCAAACCCATTCCTCAGTCTGCCAATGAACACTGAGAGATATTCTGTGTGGTTGAGAGGGCGCGCTATATTTTATTACTTTTTAATAATAATAATAATAATAATGCGCCTCTAAGACTTTTACACTCAGGGCCCACCCACACTATGCCACTGCAACCGCTTAAGAGGTTTTCTTACAATGAAGCAGCGCATACATTTTGTCCAATAAATAGCATAGTGCAGTTTTCCCCTGAACTTGGGTCTCCCGCTGGTGTTGGACTACAACCCTAGCTAGCAGGACCAGTGGACAGGGATGCTGGGAATTCCAGTCCAAAAACAGTTGGAGACCCAAGTTTGGAAAACTCTGCATCACACTGTCCCTGCACTGTTCATGGCCAGGGGGTGAATGAGTGGTTTTAATGTGGGATCAACAGTTAAAAGAAAAGTCCATATTTCATTCTAACTTACAATCTTGCCAGTGCAAGTTTCCATTACAAACTGATAGAAACAAAACATGATTCCAGGCTAATGTTTTTGGAATTAGAATACAAAGCAGAAAACACAAAAGAAATAACGCCACGTTACTGGATTTGCTGCTCAGGATATCAAGTCTTCCTACATTTTTATTCTTTTTGTTCATGGGCATTAAAGCACTTGCATGTTGAAACAACATTTCCCCCACAGTCTATCTGCACCGATTCAACAAGGCAGGATGTCGGTGAACTAAAATTAAGCATTTCGGCTATGCATGTTTAAGATGATCGAAAAGTTGCAAAGTAAACTGGCAGCTGGAGTTTACACTCCGTAGAGAAAGAGGAAATAAAAGGGAAAGTGTTTTCCATAAAAGGACATTTTATAAACCACTTGACTGCCCACATACACACACGTGCACACGGTAGCCAGGCTCAGCCACAGCTCATTATTTCAAATGCCTCTCTCCCCCACCCCCTCACTGAGGCTGCTTTACATACATACTGTGCACTAGGTAAAAAGGTAAAGGACCCCTGGATGGTTAAGTCCAGTCAAAGGCGACTATGGGGTTGTGGCGCTTATCTCACTTTCAGGCTGAAGGAGCCAGTGTTTGTCCACAGACAGCTTTCCGAGTCATGTGGCCAGCATGACTAAACCATTTCTGGCACAACAGGACACTGTGATGGAAACCAGAACACATGGAAATGCTGTTTACCTTTCCGCCACAGCAGTACCTATTTATCTACTTGCACTGGTGTGCTTTCGAACAGCTAGGTTGGCAGGAGCTGGGTCAGAGCAACGGGAGCTCACCCCGTTGTGTAGATTTGAACCGCCGAACTTCTGATTGGCAAGCCCAAGAGGCTCAGTGGTTCAGACCACAGCGCCACCTGCATCCTTGAACTAGAATCAACTGCGCACTAGAATCCATGTGCTCAGCTCATCTTATCTGCCAACATGAGCCACAAGAACAAACAGGAAATTGTTGTCGTTAGCTTTGCTCCTGTTGGAGTCCACCACACTCTGCCCCCTGGCCTGTCTCGCTCTTCCCGCTAGCCTCACCCAGACACCTTGATGTTTGAAAGCTAAACATTGGCAACCCTAATGACAAGTTCCTGCAAATTATAAAATGCCAACTTAGGGTGAATGGGAAAATCTGTAAGAGGCAAGGCTAGCTCCACAACTCGGAACACCTGATGAGGGTACCAGGGAAACTCAGTCTCACTCACACATTGATTGATTGATTGATTGATTGATTGATTTTGTATAGCGCCCTATACCCGGAGGTCTCAGGGCAGTTCACAAAATAAAATCACAATCCATAAAATCAAAATAAGAACAATAACCCAATAACACTCCCCGCAAAAGAGCCACATTTTAAAAGTACAATAGATGTCCATCAGGTCAACCAAAGGCCTGGTTAAAAAGGAACATTTTGCCTGGCGCCTAAAGGTGTATAATGAAGGCGCCAGGTGAACTTCCCTGGGGAAAGCATTCCACAGACAGGGAGCCACTGCAGAGAAGGCCCGTTCTCGTGTTGCCACCCTCTGGACCTCTTGAGGAGGGGGCACATGAAGTAGGGCCTCAGAAGATGATCTCAGGGTCTGGGTAGGTTCATATAAAGAGGTGGTCCTTGAGGTATTGTGGTCCTCAGCCATTGCTCCATATGTTCTCCAGCTGCCACTAAATGCGGTCCTAGACCACTCGATGAGTGTTGCCCCTATCAACCAAATGCTCACATACATCTGCCCAATCCTTCTGAAAACTGGCAAAATGGCTGAGCAGTGGGAAAAGCAGCAGGAAAAGAAACAGAAAGCCACATGTTTTAGAAGAGATTCCTGATATCCCGTATGTAGCAATTACACAGCTAGAATTGGCCAAGTACAATGGGCTTGCATGCAACAGTCGCCAACACACACACACCCCTTCAGCAAAGAGCATCCTGCCTGGGACACCTGAGATGCTTGGACCACACTGGAGCTGCCACATGAAGAACAATTAATGGTCCATGGTTACAATGGTCCGGCCATTGGCCCAGCAACCAGCCTGGCTGATGTAGGCCACAGCTGCTGGAAGCTTCTGCTTTGCTGTCTTGCGGGGTTTAAAAGGTGGTGGCATTATTGCAGAACGTGCCAAGGGTTATCTAAACTTAGAAAAGTGCAGGCCAAGGAGCACTCCTCTGGATCTCTCTAGGAGCACGGAGGAAGAGAAGAAAGGCGATAACGCACAATTTTATTGCCCGTGAAGCAGGACCCCAAGGGTGGCGACAACACTTTCCTTCCTCACTTTTCCACAACATTCCCGCCCCACTCTGAGCTGGAAGCAGGGGGACCAATGTCATGTGCTCAAGCATCAGGGAAGGTGCCTGAAATATACTCGGAATCAAGTGTGAATTTCATGCTCTTTATTCAGCTCCTAGTAGCAATGAATGCAACTTCCCCCAGAATGTCTAGCTATATATACATCATTTACACAATGGGTCCTGCGTGATTGGCTAATTCCGGGCTGCTCCTGTAGGCCAATCAGGTTGCGGATTCACCTCCTCCAGAAGCACGATTGGCTGCTCCTGCAGGCCAATCAGGTCGCTGATTCACTTCATCCAGGAGCCTGATTGGGTGGCTCCTGCAGACCAATCAGACTGCTGCATTCTGGATCCTATTGTTCTAGGATTCAACTCAGTACATAACAGTGCCACACATCCCAAGCAAGCTGGCCTAGGCAGTAGGATTCCATCGCTATTGATTGAAAAATGCACAATTTGGGCAGTGTTCATAACTAATTGCTCTTTCAATGTTTCCACAGTTGGAGTAGAGAGAGCTTTGTTTTCCTTCTCCCTGTTGGAGTTCTTCAGGCTCTGTTCTTGCCCCTTTACAATATACATTGTACCCAAGTAGCCTCATCCCATCCCATGGCTTTCACTTCCACACAGAACTTTTTTACAGCCAGAACTCACTGGAACTCCATTCCAGCACTTCTCAGCTGGACACCATAATAAGAGAACAAGGGGGGTGTTCATGGTGAGTTCCGGCACCTTTTTCTAGAAAAAATGCATTGCTTCCACCCATATGCTCAGTTGTAGCTCTCCATACCAGAATATTCTCCCTTCCTCCTGCTTCCAATCTGCAACTTCCCCTGCTTTTTCCATACTTTGTGACCATCTCAAAGCGCCAGATATGTCCAAGACCAAACTTCTCATTGATCCTTCCAATGATGATCACTGTTCACCTCTGTGGTCACAGTAAAGTTCTACCCATTTTGAAGCTACTAGTTTGCCTTGTGAGTTTATTACAGTGGTACCTCGGTTTAAGTACAGTGGTACCTCGGGTTAAGTACTTAATTCGTTCTGGAGGTCTGTTCTTAACCTGAAACTGTTCTTAACCTGAAGCACCACTTTAGCTAATGGGGCCTCCTGCTGCTGCCGCGCTGCCAGAGCACGATTTCTGTTCTCATTCTGAAGCAAAGTTCTTAACCCGAGGTACTATTTCTGGGTTAGCGGAGTCTGTAACCTGAAGCGTATGTAACCCAAGGTACCACTGTATTGTCATTTTGCTACCAGTTCATGGTATTGCATTCTGAATTTTTACACCAATGATTTCCCCCGTGCAAAACAAAGAAAGGTTAGTTAATATTTTAAAACGCATTGATTTCCCCCCCAATATAAATATACACAACTCAAGGTTCTGGCACACAGATATGCTTGCCAGACATAACAGTATCCAGGCCGTAGCTGATAGATTTAGAAACACACTAGGCAGCGACATAAAACAGATCTCCACTGTTTGGAGTTCTGGGTTGCTTGCTACCGAATCTGCAGAGCAGGTCATTGACCCACAACCCATAGGAACCAAGTGCCTCACAAACAAAGAGTGTCACAAGGACTGTGTAAACAGTGTAGTCTAGAATTAATTTCTGAATTGGGGAACTCAGCTGATGCAAAGTGGGAGAGCTTCCTCGAGGGAAGAAACTTTAAATCACTGTTGCTAGAACTTTTAGCCACATTGGGCGTCGAGCCTAGGGGGCGCCGCAACTAAGACGGAAATTGGGAGATGAGGGAGCACCAAATTTTGGACTTGCATGGAATTTGAAAGACCAAAGTCTTTCCTTACTGTCAAACAAACCACCAGTAAATTCTTCTGTGAAAGAACCACTGAGATCAATGGCAGCTCGGCAGGTCAGGCAAGAAAATTCTATTTGAGATCAGTTATACATGCTGTGGTCTAAACCACAAAGCCTAGGACTTGCCGATCAGAAGGTCGGCAGTTTGAATCCCTGCAACGGGGTGAGCTCCAGTTGCTCGGTCCCTGCTCCTGCCAACTTAGCGTTTCAAAAGCACATCAAAGTTCAAGTAGATAAATAGGTACCACTCTGGTGGGAAGGTAAACGGCGTTTCCGTGTGCTGTTCTGGTTCGCCAGAAGCGGCTTAGTCATGCTGGCCGCATGACCCGGAAGCTGTACGCTGGCTCCCTTGGCCAATAAAGCGAGATGAGCCTGCAACCCCAGAGTCGGTCACGACTGGACCTAATGGTCAGGGGTCCCTTTACCTTTTTATATGTGGTGGACTTGTGTTTTGTCAGCCCCCAAATGGAAAACAAGCGAGGTTCCAACCAAAGAAGAATGGCAACTTAAACTGATGGAATACACGCAGCTTGCAGATTTAACACAGAGAATAAAAGAACAAGAAGAACATACGTTCAAAGAAGACTGGAAAATGTTTACTGAGTATATGGGTGAAAATTGTGTTTGTTTAAAAATGTTAGCAGCATTAAGATAAATTCAACAGTTTAAATAAGATTTGATGGATGTAACATTGGATTACCGAATGGTTTAGTTCATGGGTAGGCAAACTAAGGCCCGGGGGTTGTATGCTGCCCAATCACCTTCTAAATCTGGCCCATAGACAGTCCAGGAATCAGCATGTTTTTACATGAGTCGAATGTGTCCTTTTATTTAAAATGCATCTCTGGGTTATTTGTGGGACCTGCTTGGTGTTTTTACATGAGCAGAATGTGTCCTTTTATTTAAAATGCATCTCTGGGTTATTTGTGGGGCATAGGAATTCATTCATTATTATTTTTTCAAAATATAGTCTGCCCCCCCGCCACAAGGTCTGAGGTACAGTGGACCGGCCCCGCGCTGAAAACGTTTGCTGACCCCTGGTTTAGTTCATGTAAAACATGTCTGCACCATCCCCAAGATTAGATTAGATTATGGTGCGAATCATGGTTGCAGTTATGATTCTAGGCATAGAAAAGCCTATTACTCTTGAGTTATGTATGTTATCTGACTTCATTCCGCTGTGACATTTTGTACAAATAAATCACTGTTAATTCTGCCGACTGGTCAGACCAGGTAACTGCCATTCTTTTTCCATATGGAAAATCAGCCCCCTGCCCCCACACACAAACACAAAGATTGTTAGCGTGTGCAACATTCTTCAGACAATGCTTCAACACAGTTTAAGGAAAGTTGAGCGACCAAAATGAATTTTAATGGGAGGATGAGTTTTATAGAGGGAAATGTCTTTCTCCTCTAATTGGGTAGACACATCAGCCCTTGTTAGAGTACCTCATTAAATCATTTGTTGTTTATTGAGGCATGCACTGGAAGATTTCATTGGCTGGCTTTCAAGGGTCACTGAGAAACCTTTTCCCATTGAAATCAGAAATTAAGTTGTCTTTCAATGACTTTTTGATACACATCGTTTGCATTTAACCCATGTTGGATGCATGTTTTATTGAGATGTGTTGTGTTGTCTTCCAAGAAAGCTGAACATAGCTTCTCGTATCTTTGTCAGTAAGTAGCTATTAAAGTCTTAGTGACGTTGGATAGAAAATTAATATAATTTGTTTAAGGTTGCCATATTTTCTTACTGCTTTTGCTCCTGTGCCTTCAACAGTGGCTCAATCCTCCAACATATTAACACGTGCCAACTCTCATCGCCAAACTGTGAAAAACTTAACTTCACGATTCCTGCTGAACTAGCTTTAATTAAGACCCTCTTCAACCAAAACACTCAACATCTCTAGCAAGTTTGTTAAAGGCTCAAGGTACATGGCAGATTATATTTTCTGGTCATTCATCAATTCTATGCTCGCTGATAAAAAATGTTTTCCTACATCAATTGCAGTAACGGCAATTGGACCCTGGTTCAAAGCTTCTTGAAAATCTGTCCATTGGCACTGAAGAACATTAGGTCCCCTCCATCAATACTTCACATACAGATAACACCAAAATAATGGACATATTCTATTCCAAACCAACCTTTTGGGACATCCCTGAGCTGGGTTATCATTTCAAGGCTTGAATCAGCTGCCTTCACCCAAAGGAATTACTTCATGGGATTATCATATCAGTTACAGGCAGGTAGCTGGTAAGTATCTGATCATTAGGGGTGCTAATCAACAAAGAAGGGAGGGGATTGCCATAATATTTTTTAACCCCTGGTCCAAGTTGTCATATTAAAGGTAAAGGTACCCCTGCCTGTACGGGCCAGTCATGTCTGACTCTAGGGTTGCGTGCTCATCTCGCTCTAGAGGCCGTGAGCCGGCACCGTCCAAAGACACTTCCGGGTCACGTGGCCAGCGTGACAAAGCTGCTCTGGCGAGCCAGCACCAGCGCAGCACACGGAAACGCCATTTACCTTCCCGCTATAAAGCAGTACCCATTTATCTACTTGCACTTAAGAGTGCTTTCGAACTGCTAGGTGGGCAGGAGCTGGGACCGAACGACGGGAGCTCACCCCGCCGTGGGGATTCGAACCGCCGACCATACGATCGGCAAGTCCTAGGCACTGAGGTTTTACCCACAGCGCCACCCGCGTCCCCAGTTGTCAGATTAGTTGTGTGTAAAAGCCAGAAATTTGGGCTAGCTGCCAGAATATTTTCAACAAAAGTAGTCACCAGCATTTTTCTCATAGGAAAGTTGCTTGAGTTTAGTGCTCGTGTGCACATTAAGGAGCCCAGATCACTAAGCTCGTCCCCAGCACAACTGTATGTGAGAGATCTTTGCACATAAAATCGTAGAGTTGGAAGGGATCCACCTGCAGTACAGGAATCCTGCCCACAGCCATCCCTGAGTGGGCTTGAACCACCAACCTTCTGGTTAACAGGTGTGCCACCTGAAGGTCATGTGTGGTTCCTCTATACCTGCTTCCCACAATACCTGCTGAGCATACTAAAGCACTGCTCAGAGTTCAAGAAAAAGGAAGGAATAAAGGCATAAAGTACTTCCAGTTTTGGAGGCATTATTGTTTAGATTTAGGGTTCAATGATTCACCGCAACAGAATTACTACAACTCTGTGTGTGGTGTTTTCTTTTTGATTGTTATTGTGGTATGTATTATTGTTTTTATATGTAAATTACCCTATGATCTTCGGATGAAGGGTGGTATAGACCAGGGGTCGGCAACCTAAAGCCCATGGGCCACAAGCAGCCCATGGGGATCGTTTAACCAGCCCATGGACCCCTGCCACCTGCTCGGTTGGATCCCGTGCGCCACACTAAACCGGCACGGAGCAGAGCGGGGACCACCTTCTGCGACACTGGCCAGCTTCCCATTGGCTATATTGGCAAAACCTATTGGTGTTTCACAACTTTCTGACTAGTTGCAGGACCTTAGGCAGACCTAGCAGAGTAAACGCAGAGTTCACGAAAGCAATTGGCAACTTGGCTGCAGACAGGATGGACGAAGCAGGAACCAGGAACTTGTAGTTAGGTGTTTATTATATACAGTGGACTATTTACAGGAACAGAACAGAACACGGATCTTTGACTAGCTCTCTCATACACGACTCACAACTCCTACACTCAAACTCGTACTCGTACTAACACACATTCCAGTTAGTAGGCCATTAATCATTATTCCCGTGAGAGAGCTTGACTAGTCATGGAGCTGTCTCCATGCCTCTGTATCACCCGGCAGACTTACTCCTTCACATTGCCTTGGCTGTTGGCCAAACCCTAATTGACACTGTGTGTGTAGCTGCACATATGCAGATTCCCAACAGGCTGCAGGAAGCTCCTGCAGCCAATGGGAAGCTGCACACGCCTCCTCCACGCCGGAAGGAGCGCCGGAAATAGCGTTTGCACTTGCTTGCTTGCGTGCGTGCACACTCCAGCCCACCACGGCGTCTGTGGGACCATGAACTAGCCCAAGCCACAAAAACTTTGCTGACCCCTGGTATAGACTGTTGTTGTTGTAAAAGGTAAAGGACCCCTGGACAGTTCAGTCCAGTCAAAGGCGACTATGGGGCTGTGGCACTCAACTCACTTTCAGGCCGAGGGAGCAGGCGATTGTCCACAGACAGCTTTCCAGGTCATGTGGCCAGCATAACTAAACCGCTTCTGGTGCAATGGAACACCATGGTGGAAACCAGAGTGCACAGAAATGCTGTTTACCTTCCCGTCACAACAGTACCTATTTATCTACTTGCACTGGCATGCTTTCGAACTGCTAGGTTGGCAAGAGCTGGGACAGAGCAACGGGAGCTCACTCAGTCATGAGGATTCAAATGACACCGTTGTCATTATAAGAGAACAAGGAGAATTCCAGCACCTATTTTTTCTAGAAAAAATAGCACTGCAGCCTTCTTAACCTGGTATCCTCCATAAAGTTTGAGCTACAATTTCCATTATATTTGGTCTTTGACCAGGGATGGCTTGGGGCTGATGGGAGCTATACATAGGGTATGTCATTTTAGAGCATGGGTAGGCAAACTAAGGCCTGGGGGCTGGATGTGTCCCAATCGCCTTCTCAGTCTGGCCCACGGATGGTCCGGGAATCAGCGTGTTTTTACATGAGTAGAATGTATGCTTTTATTTAGAATGCATCTCTGGGTTATTTGTGGGGCATAGGAATTTGTTCATTTTTTCCCTCCAAAATATAGTCTGCCCCCCCCCCACAAGGTCTGAGGGACAGTGGACCGACCCCCTGGACCGACCCCTGTTTTAGAGGGTGAAACTTAGTTTTTGCTAATTTCTTTAGCGAGGGGTCTTAAAAATATTTTGGGGGTGTGTGAGGAAATTACTGTTATTTTTGTGATTGGACAACATTTAGCTTGGTATGTATACACTTGATGAAGAAGCACTTAAACTTCTTTCAGAAAACCAAAGAATTTTAATTTTACCTTCTGAAAATGTCAGGCAGTGCTAAATAGTAAATAATTATGATTGTAATTATATATAATATAACTGCAAATACTTGGCAATCATTTTAAATGATTTCTATGCAGTTTTGCACACAAGAAAAACTAATGTATAGTCATTTAACCAAAATATATTTTGAATTCCCAAGTCATGCTGCAACTTTTTAACACCCTTCATTTTTGTAATTTGAAAGTTGAAAAAATCAGTATGCCCTAGAGCTATAGTCCCAAACCACTAGAGTGAATCAAACAGGGGGAGGTTGTCCTACAGAAATCAACCCAGCAAACTTAGGTTTGAATCTAGAGCAAGCTTGACTTCTCCAACACCATTTTGACCCCATATTTTCAGAATCTATACACCTTCATTTTAGGATTGCCTAAAGCCATTTCGATACAGTACATATAAAATTAAGACTATAAATATTTAAAATATTTAAAACAACCCACTAAGAGAGGCCATGACCATTACCCCACACAGCATTGATGAGAATGATGTTAAGAAAAAAGTAACTAGTTTTTCATCACTTTCTGGAAAAAAGCTTCCCTTATTAATTTATTCTCAATTGTGTCATCATATAGTCCTACATGATTTATGTCGGCCCATCCACCACATGATCATTGCTTGGGTGAGATCACCTATGTGACTATTCCTGGAAAAGATAAACAGCCAGAAGACAAAATAATAACAAACAAGTTTTTTAAAAAGGAAATATCTGTACAATCTTAAGTATCGGGAAGCAAACAAATTCCAACCCACTGAAACTGCTAGTGAAAATTAAAACTGGAGAATATTCAGTGCGGCTATCATTTCTAGCACCTGAAGACGAAAAACAAACTGAAACAGTGCCAAGTCATGTTATTCCACGTATCAGGCTTGAAGTCAGTAAAAATGACTGCTCTAAAAACATACTGCAAATTGCCAATATGTAGGCAACGGTGGGCCTGAAGGTTAAATAAATGCCACGTCTACTTCAGGGACAGAAGTAAGACAGGTTAAGCCAGTTGTATAATATCCACAGAAAAGACTGCTCCGAAACTAGGGAGCTATCATTTGAACAGTCCACCTGCACGGAAAACTGGGCCAGACAGAGGTGTTTGCATTGCCAAATGTTCAGCCTATTCAAACAACTTAGAACGCAGGTGAGCAATTTCCCTCCTGCACCAAGTTCAGCCTTGCAAAGCAACTGTGATCACTATTAAGTTTGGCCAGCCATGTGCTTCAAACGTTTGTATATACTGTAGCTTGGTTTTAAACAGTCTTGCTTCTCCACTGATTTCTCACATGAATACATTTCTTCCGGATAAGAATAAGAATAGGTGTGTTGCTGCCATTTAAATTATATATACAGTGGTACCTCTAGATGTGAACGGGATCCGTTCTGGAGCCCCATTCACATATAGAAGCAAACGTAACTAGCGACAGCACGTCTGCGCATACGTGCGTCGCTTTTTGGCGCTTCTGCGCATGCGCGTGACGTCATTTTGAGCGTCTGCGCATGTGCAAGCGTCGAAACCCGGAAGTAACGCGCTCTGTTACTTCTGGGTTGCCACAGAGCACAACTCGAACGCGCTCATCCTGAAGCACGTTCAACCCAAGGTATGACTGTACTGTAATCAAAATTATTAAAAATGTAGACTGGGTTCAACAACCAGGCCTTTCTTACAGAGGTCAAAGATTTGGGAATATGCAGGAAGGGTTAAGATACCATCTCTGGAAAAAACTAATCCCCATACAGTGGTACCTTGTTTCTTCAACTTAATCCGTTCCGGGAGTCTGTTCGACTCTCGAAACGGTTCAAAAACCAAGCCAAGGAGCGGCTTCCGATTGGCTGCAGGAGCTTCCTGTACTCAATCAGAAACTGTGGAAGCCATGTCGGACGTTTGGCTTCCGAAAAACTTTCGCAAACCAGAACATTCACTTTGCAGCGTTCAGGAGCTGATTTGTTCGGGAGCTAAGCCATTTGGGAACCAAGGTACCACTGTATATAGAAATCGATAGTGTTGGGTGTGCCTAGATTTTTTCCACACATCCTTTACAATACGAATCTTAATAGGAGTTAACTGATTTGTTACAGAATCCCTTGACCCAGACTTACTATGAAAATTTGATTTTTCCAGCCAAGATCTGCTAACCACTTGCCATAGCTGACATTGGTGGGAAGTGAGCCTCCCTAAGGAGGTGCAGATATTTGCCAAGGGAGACATCTTGTTCTTCCCAGTCCAGGTTATGCATTACAGAAAATACAGTATTAGCTTTCTGTCCATCCACCCATCGCAATATTTGCAGCTGCCCAACCTGCCTTTTGCTGAGGCAATCATTCTTTGCCCTTCACATGAGCCTGTCATGAGAACATGGAACAAACTGGAAGACCCGTATGACACTGTTCCCTTCTCTTTCCTTTTGATTTACTGAGAGATCAACTGTGTTGATTCATAACAGTTTTTAAAAATGGCAGAAAAGCTCCACAGTTAGGTATATATTCAGTACGTCTTACTACACCAGGTCTAGGCAGAAAACCTAAGAAATTAAAAGGTTTGTTAAGTATGCACTCTTGCTTCCTATAGTAGGCTAGATCCAGAACTGTCCTTCCATCAATAAGGTAGATATAACCAGCACCACCACTTTGAATTGTGCTCAGAAACATACTGGGAGCCAATATAGGTCTTTCAGGACCGGTGTTATACGGTCCTGGTGGCCACTCCCAGTCACCAGTCTAGCTGCCGCATTCTGGATTAGTTGTAGTTTCCGGGTCACCTCAAAGGTAGCTCCAATTCATATCAAAAAGGGCTTGTGCAGAATCGTTTCAAGTATGTTGTGCCCTTCATCACCCTTTCCTAGATATTCAGAAATGGCCCAGAGAAGGAAAGAAGATAAAATCCCTACCAGAGAAGAAGGGCAGATCAAGTTGATGGACTATGCAGAAATGGCTAGAACGACCAGAAGAATCAGAAATTGGGGAGACCAAAATTAAATATTTGGATTATTATAAAAGATGCAGGAGGAAATGATTAACAATAGGACCCACAAAGGGGAGGAGTTAAGTGCAAGAATCTGGTTTTTATGTTGTATGTTGGACATGTGGCTGTAAATTTTTAATCTGAAAAACCAAATAAATATTTATTTTTTAAAAAAATAGATATTCAAAAATTGAAAGAATCTACAGCATTTCTTCCTATTCTGTTTGCCAGCATCCTTTCTCTTCCTGCTTCTACATATGCATTCATTTGATATTGAAATCAAACCCTTTACAGCAGCCACCAGTGCTTACTGTCAGGTGCTGAGCCAATTCCTGCTTTCGGGAGCTCTCCAACTGCAGCAAATATGATTACATGCTTACCTTACCTGGGGGCAAGATTTATCCTGCCTCCCTTTAGCTTCTGTCAGTCTCTCAAAAGCAGAAAAGAAAACATTCACCATGAAATGGTCATTACATTGTCACCCGATCAAACGGAGAGGATATATCCTAATTGGGCATGATGAAAGTGTCAAGCAGTTCAAAAGCACCTGAAAAATAGGTGAGCATGTGCTATTAAAATCTGAGCCAGCAAAGCATCCAAAATGGACTTTAATGAATGTGCAGTCTTGCAAAGCCATGGCTTGGCAAAGAAAGCCTCCCGTCCCTAATGTGATGGCTGTTTCTGCAAGGCAGGCAAGTTTGTAAAGTGCTTTGACAGCCATTGTAGTGCAGTTAATTTGCAATTGTCCTGCGACTGGCTTACAATTTACTACGGAAATCACACAGGTGCTACCGTTCTGTAATGAAACCTGCCAGTCTCTGCCAATATCTATGTTAAGGGGAGGAGAGGGAGTCTGCTCTGTCCAATAGGTGAAAGGTCTATACCTGGGTCACCAGGAACTGTGGGGTGCTTAATTCTCTCTTAAATATTAAGCCACGTGTCCCTTGAGTATAGATCTTATATATATATATATATATATATATATATATATATATATATATATAGGAAAGGAAGAGGAAAAAGGATATACATATAGAATTATGAATCATTTTTGTAAGGGGTCAATGCCAATTATTCATAATTCTATATGTACAGTGGTACTTCAGGTTAAGTACTTAATTCGTTCTGGAGGTTCTTAACCTGAAACCTGAAGCACCACTTTAGCTAATGGGGCCTCCCACTGCCGCCATGCCGCCTCCGCACAATTTCTGTTCTCATCCTGAAGCAAAGTTCTTAACCCGAGGTATTATTTCTGGGTTAGTGGAGTCTGTAACCTGAAGTGTATGTAACCTGAAGCGTATGTAACCCGAGGTACCACTGTATATCCTTTTTCCTTCAGTGAGGTTAGGATGATGTCAACAAACCTAACTGCATGATACCTGCCCACAGACTGTCTTGCCAGAGTGGTGCATGCTCTGGTTATCTCCCACTTGGACTACTGCAAGGTGCTCTACGTGGGGCTACCTTTGAAGATGACCTGGAAACTACAACTAAACCAGAATGCAGCAGCTAGACTGGGAGAGGAGGAGGAGGAAGAAGCACCAGGGGAGTGACAGCTGATGGACACAATATCTTTAGAAAGCATCCCAGACCCTCAACACATACCTTGCATAGTATCTGTGTGCGCGATTGCACTGAATAGATATGTATCGCCCCTGATGGGGGGAATTTGAATCAATGACAGGGACTGTGTTGAGGAGGGCTGCACTGAGAAGGAATGGTGGGAGCCTCCCCCTCCCCCTGCTCCGTATCTGGATCCGGAATCTTCCCAGGAGCAGGAGGACAGTATAGATTTGGAACAGTGGTTTGCAGAGGGACATAGTTCAGAAGGCAAAAGCTGGGAAATACTGGATGGGGAACAGCTAGCAGAAGAAACGCCAGGAGAGAGAGTTAACAGATTCACAGTTTCTGGACAGGATTCCTCCGCTCAGCCCAAGGTCAAGAAGAGCTCAGAAAGTGTCGGAACAGAGACACAGATGATACAAATTCGGATTACAAGACATAGGAGTGACGTAGATTAATAGGGACGGGGGAGGGAGTGACCATTAATTGGGAGCGCCACCATTTCTAGGAGATGTGTTCTTTGGTCTCTCACTCTGGTTATTAAAATTTCTAACTTGTAAGACATTCCTTTCTTTGATCTTCTTATCTACTGCCATGGGGGAAGGAAGCCAATTCCCTGAAGCCTGACAATTGGTTCATTTCGGTCACTGACCAGAGTCAGTGGGGGGAAAGGATATGGGGGGGAATGGGGGGGGAAAGGATATGGTCTGCCACATGGATCCTGTTCCCCACCCCTGCTGTGAAGACAAACCTATAAGAACCTATTTCCAGTTTGCTGCCCTTTAACCTCCAAAATCTGCAACTGTGGTGGCGCATATCTCAACCATGCTTAATGGGTTTTCGATAACATCTAGACATATCAGTAAATAGGGACAGGTATCCAAAGTTCTCACTCTTGTGTGTCTTAGAAGCAGGTGGGATCTATCTGTTCTGGTCAGTTGTGTGTCTGAAAATTCTTTGAGGCACTTGAGACACTTTACTAAAAATGAAGGCATATTTCTCTGGGCTAACTCTGGTGACTGTGGTTGGTTGAAGCACATCTAAATGGGGCAGGATTTACTGGACAAGAAGAAGCTGACGCAACCAAATATAGGTGATAAATGTGTCTCTGTTTAGTGATTAATCACATGGTTATCTATCACCTCTCACAGGTATTGATCATGCATTGGCTCCATTGTACTCCAAACAAAACAAAAAAATACCATGTTCAACAACACAGAGAGGAGTAAAATAGAATGTTGTCTACGACATATCAAAAAGGAGTGGAATGGTTTATTGGAATCTTTCTTAGAAAAGAGGATGTGTGCTAAACTGCCCTTTCCCCTTGTGCCTCTCTATTCAATGAGCATTATCCAGTCAATGTTAAGCCAATTAAGTCAGATTGATTTCAATGGGGAGTTAAGCATGTGCTTATCTCCTTTTATTCAGATGCGGGCAAAGCTGTGGAAGTGCTGAATCGATGTCTGAAATCAGTACCAGACTGGCTGAGAGCCAACAAATGGAAGCTCAGTCCAGGCAAGATGGAGGCATTACTGGTGCAACCTGTTTTGGAGGAGGTTGAAGTGCACCCAAAAAATCAGATTCACCACCTAGAAGTGGTGCCTGTTTATTTAGGACATTGGTTATTAATAACAATTATATACTGCTTGCTCACAAAAGAAATTTCCAATTAATATCCAGCTCCGGCCTTGTCTTTTGAGACCCGTATAGCATCCATGACACAAAGTACTTTTCACCAACTTAAGATGGTACCCCAATTCCAGGGACAGCCTAAATCACGATAGCCTGGCCACAACTGTCCATACTCTGGTAGCAACCCAGAGCTTGTACCAGATCCTGCCAAAGCTTCGCAGTTCTAATTCCATTTATTTGCTAAGTTAGAAGTTTTCAATCTTTTTGGGTCCCGGCTCCCTTGACCAACTACAGTGATACCTCAGGTTACATACACTTCAGGTTACATACGCTTTAGGTTACAGACTCTGCTAACCCAGAAATAGTGCTTCAGGTTAAGAACTTTGCTTCAGGATGAGAACAGAAATCATGGTCTGGCGGTGCGGCAGCAGCAGAAAGCCCCATTAGCTGAAGTGGTGCTTCAGGTTAAGAACAGTTTCAAGTTAAGAACGGACCTCTGGAACAAATTAAGTACTTAACCCGAGGTACCACTGTACATTCTTTCTGCGGCAGCCCTGTGGGGCTCAGGGGCCCAGTTATGTCACCCCTTGCCTGCAGAGATGGCGGCCTCTCACCCTTTTCCAAACACACTTGCTTGTGGAGTGGTCCCTCAGACTCCTCTGGGCACCCGCAGCTGCTGCCCCTGGTCTCTTGAGTTGCCCCCACAGGGGCATGGGAAGCACCACCTGGCCAGCCCCATAGGCACCATTCACCTGGGAAGCTTGTAGCTGCTGCAACCAGCAGCTGTGCAAGCCTTTGTGAGGCAGAGACATGAGAGGGCATCAGAGGAGAGAGGGAAGAAAACAGGGACAGAGGTCAGTGTTGCCCACGGCACCCCTGACCATCATTCAAGACACCCCAGGGTGCCACGGCACACTGGTTGAAAACCACTGTGCTATAGGATTGCCGACATAAATGAAGTCCACCGAACACTTAAAAGGCACTATCTATCTATCTATCTATCTATATATAAATAAGGGACACTATCAACTACTGGGGATTGAAAGTCACTAACTTATGCTTTGCAGCTGCAAACTCTAAACCCAAACTTGGATGCAATTTTAAATGACCTAGCTCTATTTAGATTAGACAACTTGCATGGAGTGGCACTTAATCCATATTTCAAGGGCAGGCAGTCCCCCTTTGTACAAACCAATTTAACAGCGAAACTGATTTCAGAGAAGACACAACAGCCTTCTGTTGCAAGCAGATGACTGCACCGTTTGCTGGGTTCAGGAGTCCTAACAAGGCCTTGGACGCAAATCAGTATGCCCTGAAGGTCATTCCTCCCCTTAGCAAGCTATCTGACAGTTATGTCTGTGCCCTGTTGTACAGCATTCTTAGCTTCTAAACTATTTAGGCCTCCAATTTTTTTTATAAGATGTCTTGAAATCTGCTTGGTCCCGGTATCTGTTTCTGGAGCAAGTAGTTTCATCTGCCTGGAATTAAATGTCGCACTCTACCAATTGTTCCATCTGCGCAAGCATCTCAGGTTGCCAGACAGAAGCATCTCCCCTTCATCATCCAACATCTCAGTTATGTCTGGAGATACAGGCAACTATGGAGAGCGGTCATGGCTGCAGAGGCAGATTTAGGGCAACGTGACTGATTCTCCTGCACAGGGCACAGGAGTCAAGTGCTTTTTTTCAGGAGTAGTAAGTGCTTGTTTCAGGAAGGAGGCACGATGACTCATCCTTCCCAAAGCCTAGTTACTGCTTGCCCAGCTTTGGGAAGGAGTTAGGAGGGCTATAAAGGTAAAAAAGGTAAAGGTAAAGGAACCCTGGATGGTTAAGTCCAGTCAAAGACAACTATGGGGTTGCGGCACTCATCTCACTTTCAGGCCAAAGGAGCTGGCGTTTGTCCACAGACAGCTTTCTGGGTCACGTGGCCAGCATGACCAAACTGCTTCTGGTGCAATGGAACACCGTGACGGAAACCAAAGCGCGTGGAAACACCGTTTACCTTCCCGCCGCAGCGGGACCTATTTATCTACTTGCACTGGCATGCTTTCGAACTGCTAGGTTGGCAGGAGCTAGGACCGAACAACGGGAGCTCACTCCGTCACGGGGATTCAAACCGCTGACCATCTGATCGGCAAGCCCTAGGTTCTGTGGTTTAGACCATAGCACCACCCATGTCCCTAAAAAATATTTAAAAAATAAAAATACAATAGGGTTGCCATATTTCAAACAGTGAAAATCCGGAAAGAAAAGCTATTTGGGGGGCCAAATTGTTGAGCTTTGCCCAAAGAGCTATTTTAAGGGGAAATTGGCAAAATCAGCACTGCCGACATGGGCTGCCATATGTCCAGATTGTCCTGGATATTTGTCCCGATTTCTGCCAGGACACTGCTGACAAATGTGGGAAATGTATGGTGTGTCATTCATAGCCTTTGTCAGCCAACGGGAACTAGGTGGTTTTGTTTGGCTGTGATACCTAGGTAACAATACCATCAGAAAAGAAGGCAGAAGAGAAGTGTTAACGTCGCACGGCACTTTCAGACAATCCCCACCATCCCCAGAGAATGGCCTTCGACTCAGCGCAGCCTCAGGGATATGACCAAGAGGACAGTGCGCCTTAATGGACTCTGTCAATGCAGCACATTGTCTTGGTCAGGTTCAGAGCCTCCACACAAGAAGCCCTGCAGTTCAGTTGCCATCACTATCAATAATTTGTTTAGAAATCAGTTTGTCAGAGAGACCAACTCGTCTGGAGAAGTACATGACAGCTGAACTCCCAGTGACCTGGTAATTATTCAAATGCCTGTGAAAAACTACTGTGCCTCACATTTTCTGGAGACTTGCTGGAGTCTTTTATTCAAGGTTCTATGAATAGAATTCCCAGAGCACATTTGAGCGCACCAGAGCACATCTCCATCCCTGGCCAAACAATATTGAATGTAGCTTCTGAAATCATCTTATGATCGTGGTGGGATAGAGCTTTGGGGTTAAGTCTCTCTATGATTTTTCTTAATATCCTTTAATCCATTGGTCTTCATTGGAGGGAGTTGGAGACCCCAAAGTGGGACACGATGGAACATACCAGTGACTTGAGTGCAGTTTTATCTCTCAGGTTATACAATGAGGAGAGAAAGGCAGACATATGTGGCAGGGAACAAAAGAGAAGCTGATCTCATTCTGTAAAAGGTAAAGGTAAAGGTAGCCCTGACCATTAGGTCCAGTCGTAGATGACTCTGGGGTTTTGCGTGCATCTCACTCTATAGGCCAAGGGAGCTGGCGTTTGTCCACAGACAGCTTCCAGGTCATGTGGCCAGCATGACTAAGCTGCTTCTGGTGAACGAGAGTAGTGCACAGAAACACCGTTTACCTTCCCGCCGGAATGGTACCTATTTATCTACTTGCACTTTGATGGGCTTTCGAACTGCTAGGTTGGCAGGAGCTGCGACCGAACAATGGGAGCTCACCCCGTCGCGGGGATTTGAACTGCCGACCTTCTGATCGGCAAGCCCTAGGCTCTGTGGTTTAAACCACAATGCCACCCGCGTCCCTTCTCATGCTGTAGGTTGGGGTTAAAGCTGGCTTCTGGGTGTGAAAAATGTGAGGACATTCTCAATGTTCTTCCACCTTAGCCTCCCAGGAAGGCAAAGGACTACATCTCAAGAACACTACTCATCAGGTGGAGGGTCAATTGACACAGCCATTGCGACCTGCAGGGATATATTTCCAGCTTGTTGTGCTTGCATTCCTCCATTTGCCTTTGGCAAAGCAGCCATCTGCACGCTCTCCATTTTGCAATGATTGCCAGCATTCCCAGTATTGTAGGAAAAACTCCACGGGAGTTTACTGCTGATCTATGCTTATGATACAGCAATAATATGGCCAATTTACCCTGGATAAAAACGAGCACAATGCTGCCATGCCAGAACTGTGTGAACTGGCCCAGAAGTACAACAGCCAACCCTGTTTGTCTCAGGTTAGATCCAGGTGATCCAAATGCATTTTCTCTCTCTCTTATGCCTCTGCATCTTATTTGAGGACAAAGCCAGGCTCTTTTGAGCAAGGGTGCATGGCCTGGGGGGAAAAGAACAAACTCCCATCAACTCCTCAAAAAGAGAGGTTATTTCCCAGCTTTCCCCCTCATCTGCCTCTGAGCTGTCTTCTCTGGAAGGGTCAGGCTGGGGAAGTACCATATTTTTTGCTCTATAAGACTATAAGACTCACTCTATAAGACTCACTTTTTTCCTCCTAAAAAGTAAGGGGAAATGTGTGTGCGTCTTATGGAGCGAATGCAGGCTGCACAGCTATCACAGAAGCCAGAACAGCAAGAGGGATTGCTGCTTTTACTGTGCAGCGATCCCTCTTGCTGTTGTGGTTTCTGAGATTCAGAATATTTTTTTTCTTGTTTTCCTCCTCCAAAAACTATGTGCGTCTTGTGGTCTGGTGTGTCTTATAGAGCGAAAAATATGGAAGTCTCCACCATTTCTCCTCTGCCCAGTCCCTGACACTTATGCACCCCACAGTGCATTCCCTTCCGCCTTGGAGTTGGTTGTTCCTCCATTGAACTGCAGAGTACAGAAGTTAAAAGGCAAGGAGACTTGACCTTAAGCAGCTACCTTCCTGTTCCTGTCCATGTATGCGACAAGCTGTCTGACCTTTGGCACAAGGTGTCCACGCTGCAATTTGCCAGCCATGTCGCAGCACATTAAACCCCACAGTACCCCACCTCCTTTGATGACATTGGGCAGGTGTGTGCTGTTGCATGCTAAGAAGAAGTCTCCCCCATGCTCATGCCTTCTTCCTGATCAGGGTACATTCAGTGCCTATGAAACTGATCAAACCATTGTGAGGGCATTCCCCAATGCAAGCAAGATGTTCTGAGACTTAAGTATAGACATGCATCAAAATGCTTTATCTTTTAAATCTATATTGCATTGCTCACGGGCTATGACAAGCACATGTCAAAACTACTGAATGTTCTAGCATTTCCCTGTGTTTGTGGCAACAGTAGCTTTAAAGAATCATGGACAATTGGGGGGGGTTAAACATTAGAGGGTCAGCAACCTTTTTCAGCCATAGGCCAGTCCACCGTCCCTCATACCATGTGGTGGGCTGGACTATATTTTTTGGGGAAAATATGAGCAAATTCCTAGGCCCCACAAATAACCCAGAGATGCATTTTAAATAAAAGCACACATTCTACTCATGTAAAAACACCAGGCAGGCCCCACAAATAACCCAGAGATGCATTTTAAATAAAAGGACACATTCCCGTCTGCGGGCCGGATTGAGAAAGCGATTGGGCCGCATCCGGCCACTGGGCCTTAGGTTGCCTACCCCTGCGTTAGAGTATGGTTTAGGAATGCAATGGCAAGATACCAAGTTGGCGAAAATGTTAAGTGTCAGTCCCATCTGAACAGCAAACGTCTTTGAAAAGAATTGGACAGAGGTATGCATCAAGATCACCACCTTTGTAAAATAGATTATGACCCATGGCTTGAATGTTTTGTTGTGGGTTTCTGCTGCAATTGTTAGCCTTCCATTTGCAGTTTTGTCTCAATGTGGCAACTAATCGAGGTGAAAAGTGCTGATGGGCACACTTACCTGAGATGTGAGAATGACTCTGTGTATAGAACACTGCTTTTTGACAGATAGAATGAAGGGAGAGCAAGGCAGCGGGGAGTGGCAAACAAAAAAGAGTTGTCTACCCAAAAAGCATACCCAGTGGTTGGGAGGGCAGGGTTCAACTCTGCTGTGGTCTGCTTTGCCAGTGTGTTTCCTACAGAGTAGAAGAGCCTTGCAGCCAGCAGAATTGAACCCTCCACTCATCAGCTGATGAGCGGTGGGTTTAATCCTGCTCAGTTTGGCTGCATTCACCTGTTCCCTGCTAGGAAGCTCAAACAGCTGTGCAAGCTGTTTGAAAGCCCTTTCGCAAACAGTCTTCACTGTGCTTTGAAGTCCTGGTGGTCGGGGCTTCAAAGCACAGCATCACCTGAAGTCACTGTGATGCCAGGTGATAGGTGGCCCTCCAGGTGTGGGGAGATGAGTGTCTGACCACTAACCAGAAAAGATTCTGCACCCCGCCTTGGAAAGCCATTGACGATTTTTTGTTAGTGAACCTACACCTCATTCCCCAGGTCGTGAAAATGATAATGAGCCACTTCGTTTGCAGCTGTTTTCGTTTTTTGCCTGCATTTATGCATTTTGAAGGACGCGGGTGGCGCTGTGGGTTAAACCACAGAACCAAGGACTTGCCAATCAGAAGGTCGGCGATTCGAATCCCCACGACGGGATGAACTCCCGTTGCTCGGTCCCTGCTCCTGCCAACCTAGCAGTTCGAAAGCACGTCAAAGTGCAAGTAGATAAATAGGTACCACTCCAGCGGGAAGGTAAATGGTGTTTCCGTGTGCTGCTCTGGTTCGCCAGAAGTGGCTTAGTCATGCTGGCCACATGACCCGGAAGCTGTACGCCAGCTCCCTTGGCCAATAAAGCGAGATGAGCGCCGCAACCCGAGTCGGTCACGACTGGACCTAATGGTCAGGGGTCCCTTTACCTTTATGCATTTTGAAGATGTCATAGGATGTTTTCATTATTATATCTATATCTGTATCTATTTTTTATTGATGTCTTGCTGCTCTAATGTTGTGGTTCCACCGGGGGCCAGGTGGTGAAGAGCAGGTTAGAAACAAACAAATAAATCTTATGATTTGTAATTAGGCTAAATACGGCCTCATTCAACAAATCTTTGGAGAGGGGATAGAATATATTCCAAAATCCTTGCAGACTTAAGGAAAAAGAGTGAAAAGGGATCGAAAAGAAACCCTTACCTGTCTTCTCTGTCTACACTCTGGTCTATATTACCTCTGTGGATGTGTGTTCTATTTATCAACTCCCATGTGAGACAGGATATACGGACAGGTAAAAATACTCTTCTCTAAGGAGCATTAGTTGATGTTTGGGGTGCTTGCTTACTGGAATTCAACAGAAATTCCTTCCTGCTCTCTGTCTATGGTCTGATCATGGAAGCCATTTTTCTCTTATGTAAGCTGATCTGAGAGGGATGTTTTGAGCACAGTATTTCCTGCTTCTGTGCCAATGACTTGTGCTAAATGACCCATGAGGCCCTTGCAAGTTATAATTCTCTACATGCGCAGGAATCGGAGAGAAAGTGAAGAAATTATTTATGTTCTTGGGGAAGATCAGTTAAGTCCTGCTGAATTAGCGCACATCCATTCTTTTGAGACACTTTCTCCCTCTGTCTTCCAAAACAAAGGATTGGTGCGGTCTGGGAGGGCGCTGAGAGCTGTGACCATGTTTATATCCTTTTCATTTACAAGAACAATAAAACAAACGTTCTTAGCAACCCTAATATGGTTTTCTTAAGAATGTACTGTGAAAATGAATCCTACACAGAATACTTCAAAACAAACATATTTGTCCAAAGCAGGATCTGCATCGTTATGTCATCTTTCTTTCTTTCTTTCTTTCTTTCTTTTTCTTTCTTTCTTTCTTTCTTTCTTTCTCTGTTTCTGTGCCCGTCTCTCTCCTTTCCACACATTATTAACCTCATTGGCTTGGATTTTTATTCTTATTCTTATTCATACCCTGCCCATCTGGCTGGTTTCCCCAACCACTCTGGGCGGCTCCCTATGGAATATTAAAACACATTAAAAATCAAACATTAAAAACCTCCCTAAACAGGGATGCCTTCTCAAAGTCAAAACAAAATTTAAAAAAATCCTTCCAGTAGCACCTTACAGACCAACTAAGTTTGTTCTTGGTATGAGCTTTCGTGTGCATGCACACTTCTTCAGATACACTGAAAAAGAAGTCACCAGACCCTTATATATAGTGAGAGGGTGGGGAGGGGTATTACTCAGAAGGGTGGTGGGAGTGGGTGATTGGCTGCTAGGTGTGGTAAACCTGTTGACGACTGTTAATACTGCAATTGGTCTTACAGGAAAAAGCAAGGGGTGAGCTAAAAATAGCTTTACCATGTATAATGAGATAAGAATCCAATGTCTCTATTCAGACCAGGTCTCTCCATGATTTTAAGTTTGGTAACAAGTTGTAATTCAGCAACTTCTCTTCCAGTCTATTTATGAAATTCTTTTGTAATAAGACAGCTACTTTGAGATCTTGTATAGAATGTCCTGGGAAATTGAAGTGTTCTCCTACTGGTTTCTCTGTCTTGTGATTCCTAGTGTATCTGAAGAAGTGTGCATGCACACAAAAGCTCATACCAATAACAAACTTAGTTGGTCTCTAAGGTGCTACTAGAATGGGGTTTTTTGTTTGTTTTGACTACAGCAGACCAACAAAGCTACCTACCTGTTTCTCAAAGTCAGATAGTTGTTTATTTCCTTGACATCTGATGGGAGGGCGTTCCACGGAGAAGGCCCTCTGCCTGGTTCCCTGTAACCTCACTTCTCGCAGTGAGGGAACTGCCAGAAGGCCCTAGGAGCTGGACCTCAGTGTCCAGGCTGAACGATGGGGGTGGAGATGCTCCTTCAGGTATACTAGGCTGAGGCCGTTTAGGGCTTTAAAGGTCAGCACCAACACTTTGAATTGTGCTCAGAAATGTACTGGGAGCTAATGTAGGTCTTTCAGGATCTTAAGTAGCTCCTCTGTTCACACGGGGGGGGGGGCGGGAAATGTGATTTCCACCAAGTCTCCATCCCCTTACAAGGTATCATCCACCATTTCCAAGGGTCCCCCAGCTCCCAGGAAGAGACTTGTGGTCGGTGGGAGATGTATGAACAAGGAACTGAAGAGGGAAGGCAGGAAGGCTTCGTTCTGTGAATGTAATCTCTTGCTCCATCTGCAGTTACGATCCAAACCCTCACCTTTCTTATGCAGAAATACTGATGTAAGGAGCTGCCTTATAATAAGTGACACTATTGGTTGGTTAAGCCCTGTCCTGTCACTTCTGACTGGCTTAAAGGTTCTTTACCAGCCCCACTGCCAAATATCCTTTCAACTGGGATTGACCCTAGTGCCTTCTATATTTAAAGCCTAGGGGCATATCACAGGCATAAGTCTGTAGCATCTCTGTTTCTCTGGTGCACCGGAGTATGGGGAATGTGATTGGTTAACTCATGTGCACTGATTGTTAGCACATTTTGGATTCCTAGCTTGAACTGACTGACCACCTTGCTGCAAAAGGCTGGAAGCAGAGAATCCTACATCTGCAAGTGGCCCACCTATTTTATAAATATTCCCGTCCTATAGATACCTGCAGTAAACAAATCCCTGGCTGGAATCCAAAGAACTCATTTGTGTGCATCTCAAGCCTGTGGATTTGTCATTTTTATTCTTTCTGACTAAAGAGCAGACTTCCCTGCTGCACCATATATGAAACTCCCCTCAGGTTTCATAAAAGGCTTGCTGTTCTGTTCAAGGACCTAAACCCCAAAATGAGTCCTAGGACTCTGGATGCAAATTTCCGACTTGGGTGCTGCCAGAAGAGCATAGCAGCTGGCTTTGCCCCACCCTGTCCCCTCATCCATACAAAACAAACGTTTACTCTGCTGTGCAAAGAAAGAAGAGAGCCCAGAGAGATTTGATGCAAATATACTGACATAATTCATTTCCCAGCAGAGTCTCACCATCCCAAGAATTATCATGCACTTACCAGGGTACAATAAGTGTGGATTCAGCTGCAATCCACACACTACACCCAAAACATTTTATTATTACATGGATATCCCATCTTTCCTTCAAGGAAGGAGGAATGCCTATCCCCCTCTCCATTTTATCCTCGCAAGAACTTTGTCAGACCGTAGGCAAGTCTGAGGTACTGTGACCATCTCAGGATCACCAAGGGAGCTTCACGACTGAGTGACTATTTGAACTCTGATCTCACAGGTCCTAACACCCTAACCACACTGTCTGAACACTGTATGGATCCTCTGAGTTCACATTCTCAACAAAAAAAACACAGTAACATGGACAAGTTCCTGTGAAGATGGGTTTGAAGCAGGAATTGGGGAGGGTTAGCTGACAGAAAATGTAGCTTTATGTTTAACTTTGCCGAAGTAGAGTCTGATGAGGAACTCAGACTTAAGTGAGACACTTGAGAGATGGATAAATTTACCTTCCCACTGCAGTGGTACCTATTTATCTACTTGGGCTGGTGTGCTTTCGAACTGCTAGGTTGGCAGCAGCTGGGACAGAGCAATGGGAGGTCACTCCCTTGCGGGGATTCGAACCACCGACCTTCTGATCGGCAAGCCCAAGAGGCTCAGATGGCCTCTAATGAAGTGTGGCAGGGCACAAGAACTGTAATAAAGGGAGCTGAGAAATGTAGCTGGAAAGTAAGAGAAGAGAGTGTCAGAGGGAAACTACACAACAACACGTATCATTTATGTTCCGGTTTCATGGCTTGCTCCAAAAGACTCTTGGGAAAACATAGTAACCCATCTCTGAGAACTGCACTTCCCAGGATTGCTTTGGGTGGGGAATGACCATTTTAAAAAGTTTAAGTGTGTAATGCAGATATCTTGTTTAGTGAAAGATCGCTGAGCTTCAAACAGAAGCATTAAGAAGTACAGTGGTACCTCGGGTTACATACACTTCAGGTTACATACGGTTCAGGTTACATACGCTTCAGGTTACAGACTCCACTAACCCAGAAATAGTACCTCGGGTTAAGAACTTTGCTTCAGGATGAGAACAGAAATTGTGATCCGGCAGCGCAGCGGCAGTGAGAGGCCCCATTAGCTAAAGTGGTGCTTCAGGTTAAGAACAGTTTCAGGTTAAGAACAGACCTGTGGAACGAATTAAGTACTTAACCCAAGGTACCACTATAAATGAATGAGATAGACGAAAGGATAGAGGACAAACCAGGGGGAGACCCACATCCATCGAGACAAAAGATTGCCAAGACACAAGCAGGAAGTTTAGCGAAAGCAGAAGAAAGACAGGGGCAGATCTTTGGAGAAGTTGAAAAAGCAGTAGCAGCAGAATATGGCAGACGTCTGCAAGAGGTTGCAGTGAAAAGAGGAGTGCATGCTATGGGGAGGAAGGAGATAAAATGGCAGGTAAACGGCAGAGCTCCCTGGTCACAATGCTAGATTTAGGATGGCAGCAAGACATCCACGGGGGGAAGGGCAAGAGAAAAGAAGAGGAAATAGATTATAGAGGAAGGCCATCTGCACAGCTGGGCATTCATAAATATGTGGGTCACTGATTCCATGTGCATTCGTGAACCTTGATTGCTTTCAATTTTATGCCTCCCAAGTGTTTTCTATCCACACCAGTGCGTGGTGCCCGGTGGGGGTTTTTTGTGCTGCATATTGCTGCCCCTTCTCTTAAAATGGTACTTCCCCAACCACCTTAAGTTTCAGAGAAACCTGAGATCCACAGTGGGCATGCACACAGACTTGAGTGGTTTAAACCAATTTATTGGTCCAGGTTTTCCTGGTGTGGTGTGTAGTGTCGCTCAGGAAGACCCCAGTTAAAAATCTCACAGCACTTTAGTAGGATTGGAATATCACTTGTAGCTTAAGGTTGATTCTGACCATAATGGAAGAAGCAAAAGGATTGGGATTATCATAAAAAGATGTGGGAGGAAAGGATTAATAATAGGACCCACAAAGGGGAGGATGGAAATCCAGGAGATTCCTTGGAATCTTGTTTGTATGATTTATGTTTGATATATCTCTGTAAAATTTTAATTTGAAAAACCAAATAAAGAATTTTTTAAAAAATCTCACAGCAGCCATAGACTCACAAGATGTCCCTCAGCCTCAGCACCCAGCTTAAGGAACAACCTAAATGCATCTTTTGTGCTCTGGGTGTGTTTCACTTATCTGGAGTGTAATACAGAAGCATCTACACCTTTCGCTTATCATGTTAATAATAATAATAATAATAATAATAATAATAATAATAATAATTTATTTATATCCCGCCCTCCCCTGCCGAAGCCGGACTCAGAGCAGCTAACAACAGTAAAAGTAACAGTTTACATAAAATCACAATCAATTAATTGAAATACATTCTAAAATCAGTTCATTCTAAAATCAATTCTGAATCAAATTAATGGCAACCATTGGGCTAGAGTTCTATGAGGATTACAGAAGGAGGGGGTCAGATTGTGCCTTGGCCAAAGGCCTGGTGGAACAGCTCTGTATTGCAGGCCCTGCAGAAAGATGTCAAGTCCCGCAGGGCCCTAGTCTCTTGTGACAGAGTGTTCCACCAGATCAGGGCCACAGCCGAAAAAGCCCTGGCTCTGGTTGAGGCCAGCTAACCTCCCTGTGGCCCAGGACCTCCAAGATGTTTTTATCTGAAGACCGTAAGGTCCTCCGTGGGACACACCAGGACATTGACACCACATGTTGTTCCTTTTAAAAATGGATTCCTTGCCTGAAGAGGCTTTACAAGAGTTTCACCACAGAAGCTTAACCTCTACAACCATGCACCAGTGGAGCATCAAACCGCGTTCTAGATTTGGCAGGAGAAGGGCCAGCAGCTTGTCAGGAGAAGGGCACACTGCCAAATCCTCTCCTGTCATCAGTCACCTGAAGGGACACAGCATGAAGCCTCCTCATGATTTCCGTATATTTATACACTCCGGTGTTGTTGTTGAGCCTTGTGTAAAAGCACGGGAAAACAACTAGTGCTGTGGTACACACACAGTCAGGATGTGTGTAGTTTGGCCAACTGGGCAGCAGGGAATCTGGCATCTGCTACAACATTCTGTGGAGAACCCTTGCTGTTTTCTTTCTCAAGGCATTGTGGCTTTTTGAAGAGGACACGAAAAAACACATGGTCACTGTGAAGAAATGGTTCAAAAGACACAAGGAGCTCTGGGCAGACTGTCTAGATCCGATATGAATTTCTCCCAGGAGGTAGAACACACATGGCATGTCAAAAATGTACAGCTATACATAAAAATGTCAACAGGAAAAAACGTTCGTTTGTAAACCCATGTACCAGATAGATGTTTTCAGCACAGAGCCAGGACTAGCCCTGGGTCCCTGCTGAGTGCACAGTGGTTGGAAACCCAGATCTGCAAACACATCATATGTAAAAAAAAGACACCAAGTCTCTGCTTTGCCATTGCGGTTTCTCCTTCCTTCCTCTTTGCATTTGACTGTATCAGGGCATTCCCCCCAAACCTAAATTAGGTGACAACTTGACTTTTGCACTCAAAATACCACCTTGCAACAAATTAAGCGCATGCATGCAAATGATTTTAATTTGCATACACCTTCTTTTCTCTATACAGGAGTGTAAAATGTAGATTCCCCCACCACCATATAAAGTACATACATGCTTCCAGATTCAAAACTTGCTTTGTGCCGAGTTCTTAGAAGACCAGGATAGAAGGAACAGAAGCTATAGTACTTTCTTCTTGTTGCATGCCTCAGTATAACCAACAGTCAATTAATTAATGAGTCATGCAAAGAATAAGCGTCTTAGAGAGGAAGTAAAATCTTGTTCCTTGGGCTTTTTAAATAAATGGTTGCACTGGGGCTTGCATTGCAAGTTTTATTTCCCAGCATTCTAGCCACTACACAGTAGCTCTCCTATTCCGGCATCTTCCCATTTTTTGATCACAGCTCTATACTGTCCAGTATATTCCATGAAGTCAAGCAGATTCTTCTGTGGGTGCCTGATTATTACTGTACCATAAGCATTCTCTGATTGCAAAATGAGAACCCCTTTGCAATACAGTCACCAAAAGCTAGCATTGCACACCTCGCAGTTAGGAACAGCAAACTCCTCCTAAATCCTTGGCTCTCCCCTCACAATGCCCAATTTAACCAGTAGAGCTTAATTTCACCTGTTATCCATGTGCTGTATGTAACTAGAGACAAAGGCACAGATTTTAGTGTGCAAACACATAGGGAGAGAGATCTGCAGCAATTCTGTGAATACAGTGGTACCTCGGGTTACACACGCTTCAGGTTACAGACTCCGCTAACCCAGAAATAGTACCTCGGGTTAAGAACTTTGCTTCAGGATGAGAACAGAAATCGCGCAGCGGCGGTGCGGCAGCAGCGGGAGGCCCCATTAGCTAAAGTGGTGCTTCAGGTTAAAAACAGTTTCAGGTTAAGAACAGACCTCCAGAACGAATTAAGTTCATAACCAGAGGTACCACTGTATAAGCAAGGGGTGGAGAATGAAGCTAAACTGCAGGATCTAAGATTTACAATAAGCCACATTTGCTTGGGAGTGGGGCATGAGGGAGGGATTGCCCAAGAATATTAGTTGGCAGAGAGAAAGCCATGGGGTCCATGCAATATTTCTATTAGATCTATTTAAGAATGTGTTATCTGTCTTTGCATAATGAAGAAACACTCTCTATAATATGTCTTCCTTCCAATTACTTGTTGTGGGCATCCATTTGTGCCTTTGGGAGTGAAGTCAAACTGTTGGAAGGTTGCAGTGCCTGCTGCGGTTATAGAGACTGATACGGGAGAGACATGTTCTGTTGCAGCTGGGGCAGGTGAAGGTGTCCTTCGTGTCACATTTGCTGAAATCTTTGTAATGTGGAGTTGGTCTGCCAACATGCCCGAAGCAAACTGCCCATGGAGCAAGACTTTGGGGATCCTGCCATCTTCCATTCTGTGGACATGACCAAGCGAGCATAGACATTGATGGGACAGAAGTGCAAATGCGCTGAGAATGTGGGACTGGGAGGACAAACTTCTGTTTGAGACTCTGTCCTGCCATGTGATGCCCAAAATCTTCCTGATGGAAAGCACTGAGGCATCGCTCCTGGTGGTTGCAAGCTGCTCGAGACTCACCTCCATAAAGCAGTGTGCTAAACACACATGCCTAGTAGACCTTCAACATGATATTGGACATTAGCATCACATTCTCCCATACTCCTTTGGAGAGGTGAGCCATTGCCATAGCTGCCTTCTTCTGGATCAGCATCGAAGGAGAGGCTGCTGGTTATGGTGGAACCCAGGGAGACAAAATTGTCTACCACCTCAAGTGTGTGGTCACCAATCCTGATGTGTGGAGTGCTGGTGATGTCCTGACCCAAGACGTTGATCTTTGTCAGGCTGATGGTAACACCGAACTCCCTGAAGACTTGGGGAAACAACCGATGAGTCTCTGTAGAGCTTCCTCTGAGTGTGCTGTCAAGACTGAGCAGTGCATGCTCTTGTTATCTCCTGCTTGGACTACTGCAATGCGCTCTACATGGGACTACCTATAAAGGTGACCTGGAAACTACAGCTAGAATGCGGCAGCCAGACTGGTGATGGGGAGTGGCCACCGAGACCACATAACACCGGTCCTGAAAGACCTACATTGGCTCCCAGTACGTTTCCGAGCACAGTTCAAAGTCTTGGTGCTGACCTTTGAAGCTCTAAATGGCCTCGGCCCAGTATAACTGAAGGAGTGACTCCATCCCCATCGTTCAGCTCAGACACTGAGGTCCAGCTCCGAGGGCCTTCTGGCGGTTCCCTCACTGCGAGATGTGAGGTTACAGGGAACCAGGCAGAGGGCCTTCTCGGTTGTGGCGCCCGCCCTGTGGAACGCCCTCCCATCAGAGGTCAAGGAAATAAACAACTATCTGACTTTGAGAAGACATCTGAACGCAGCCCTGTTTAGGGAAGTTTTTAATGTTTGATGTTTTATCGTGTTTTTAATATTCTGTTGGAAGCCGCCCAGAGTGACTGGGGAAACCCAGCCAGATGGGTGGGGTATAAATAATAAATTATGATTATTATCATCTGCAAACTGCATCTCTCAGATAAGGACCATCACACTTGTCTTGCTGTGGAGACATGCTAAGTTGAACAGACCCCCCACCACCACTCGTTGAATGGATGTACACACTGTCTTCAGTCCAGTTGAAGCCATATGAGAGCAACAGGGAGAAGAATATATCAAAGAGAGTTGCTGCAGGAACACAGCCCTGTTTCACACAGCTCTTTGTAGGGAAAGCATCTGAGGATGAGCTGTCCTATTGGACGGTGCCATGCATGTTCTCGTGAAAGGACACCATCATCTTGTGATGCTTAGGTGGGTATCTTTTTTGGCTGATGAATACTTTTCGGCCTTCCAAATACTGCTAGACCCAAAATTGGCATTCAGCTACAGTGGGTGATCTCTATCAGCACCACCACAGTGGCACAAGTGCCCAAGAACAAGGAATCCCATATAATCCATTGCATTTGAAGGAGGATGTAGAGGGTCTTCATTTTTCTGGTACAGTGCTTTGTAGCTTCCAGGACTGGGCAACGGAAATCTTCTAGAAATTAGAAGCTGTAGGCATGTTATCACTGAGACAGTATGCTTGTCTCTGGGCTGTACCACCTCAGACTTCTATGGGGTTTTTTTCCTTCCATACAATAGAGTTCCCTCTATATAGAAAACTAGATGTCAAAGAGAAGGGTTCAATTCTTCCCTTCCCTTCCTGTCATTGTGTGTGTGTGTGTGTGTGTAGGGGGACCTTTCCATCATTTGAGCTCCCATCTGCAGTTTTAATCCACATGGCTTCCATCTTTTTAAGAACTGCGCACAATCAAGCCAAAAGTAAGAAATTTCCAGCTACACTGATTTCAGTGGGAAAGATTTAATTTCATCTATCTCAACAGGATAGATAAATAAAATGCCTTTAAATGTGTCCTGGCTGTGACCATTCACAGCACGTACAAACCTTTACATTTTCTTTTGTTCACACATGTTTGGGGGGGTGAGGGATAAGCATTCCTTGTGTCAGCTTGTGAGATGTTGGGGAAAGAATGGAAAAGTTTCGTATCTGAAAAAAGCAGAAAAACTGGAAGGCAAAAGGCATTGTGGAAATGGGAAGTTTCTATTTTCTTCTTTGTTTCTTTCATTTGACAGGTGCAAATTGTAATGAAACAATCACCTCTCTCTTTAAATAAGATGTCAAGATGCTATCGGTATCCAGAGAGCAAGAAAATTGTGGCACATGTGATATTGCAACGCTGCAGGGGAGAGATCCATCGTACGAGTGCTTTCCATTCTCCACAGGCATTTTTTCATACGCTATCTTGAAACCACTTCTTAATGCATTAAGCCTCCATTACACATTGCATATGGTTTCTATTTTCAAATCTCTGATGCTTTTAGGAATTTGTTCCTTGACTTCATTCATTGGTGCCTGGCTGCAATTAGCGTTGATTGACAAGAAGAAGGCCAGCCGTTTCTCTCCCCCTTACCCCACTTCCCAAATTTTCTGTTTCCTGACCCAGCTCAACAACTTAATCCAAAACATTCATCTTTTAGAAGGGATTGTTGTCTGGCAGGAAGACATCTTCTCTAGCGTTTTTCCTGTTTGGGCACTTTTCTTTTTTTCTTCACAAGATGGAGCCAGAACCAGAGAGAAAAGGAAAACACGAAGCATATGTGATATCTCTATGAAAAAACAATTTGTATTGTTCATCATCGTCAGGTGGAACCTGGTATTTAAAGAGGGTGCAAATCTATTGTCGATTTGACTGCATAGGATGTTTAAAGATTTGTATTAGCGCATGGTTTTCCGTTAAGTGCTTCTTTTTGCACCATTAACAGTGGCTTTGCATTACTTCCAGGTGCTGGGCAGTTAATGACACACACAGCAGCAAGTTGAATATGGAAAGCAGCTAGGAACAATGAATCCTACTGCAGCAATTCCTACATTTGTGTGCCACAAGAGAACTGCTGGCATGCCACACAAAATAAATAAATTAATGGCTTTTTTCAGCCCCAAGTACCCGCCCACGGCTGCCTCAGCACATCATTCGCTGTTTTCACTGGCCTGGCCACTTTCCCATTGGTTCTGCTGGTGCAAGGTAATTCAGCCACATCTTTTCATTGGTTGTGACTGGATCGTTTTATCACACCAAGACAGAGACTGGGCAGAAGGCCCTGACTTCAGAAGAAACTGCTCACTGTATCTCTGCCCTGGTCTAGTCGAAAACAGTGGCTCAGGGCTTTTCCACGCTTACTTTTTGGCCCACTCTTTCCAGACAAAGGTCCGCACTTTAACACTCTGCACCCAAGCGTAATTTTTCTTTTTCTTTTGCCCCGAAATTTCCCCCACGAAAACCCACTCTCTCAAGCTGAATCGGAGCAAATGTCAATTCAGGTTTTGCATAGATTGATGTTTGTTCCAATTGAGCTTTTAAAGAGCAGGTTTGCTAAGGGAAGATAAGCCTTCAGCTTGCAGACTCTTAATGTAAAACTTTGCAAATGTTCAGAGTGAAGTGTGCCTTCTACAAAGGTGGTTTTAGAGGAATTTGAATAGTTTGCCTGCACTGGGCACCAAGACGAGAGGGAGCTGCAGGGGGGCGCCGCAAAAATGACTTAGAACAGAAGGCAAGAGAAAGGGAGGCACCAAATTTTGGCATTGCACAGGGGACTGCTGAAATTTGAATGCCCATAGTCCGCCACTGCCTCCAGTATCAATTCAGACTAAAATGTGACTCGGTTGTCAGAGGCTTGGGAAACACTTGCTTGCCGGCATGCAAATAGTACATTACGTTGACCATGGGTGGAAATATAAACTGCAAACATACCTGTGTAACCAATGTTCCTTTCCAGAGTGGAAAATCAGCTTTGGGAGTGTTCGAGATCAGTGTTCGAAACTCCCATTGTTCTAGGCACATTTTGCGACAGGGAATTCCATTGGTGTGAGAGGTTTCTGAGCTCTGGGCGCAGTACTGTGCCTAAGATTTCAGATTAAAACTGCAGAGTGGAAGGAAAAGAGGTCCTTTTCCTGCCTCCCCACTTCCAGCTGCTCTCTGAAGACTGGAGAAGAGACCATCTTAAGAATATTAGGGGTGTGGGCAAGGGAAGGACTATACCATGTTAAAAAAGAACATAATATTTTAGCTGCAGTTCATTCATGTTCAGCTTTGTATTCTTGTTATTAAAAAAGCACACTTAGACATTCTGTTGTTGTGCCCATAACCTAGGTTTAAGGTGCCATTTAGCTCCTAGCTTCCATATCTCAGTTTCCAACACGGTATACAATGTGCTTTATACAGTGGTACCTCAGGTTAAGTACTTAATTCATTCCAGAGGTCTGTTCTTAACCCGAAACTGTTCTTAACTTGAAGCACCACTTTAGCTAATTGGGCCTTCTGCTGCTGCCGCACCGCCGGAGCACGATTTCTGTTCTCATCCTGAAGCAAAGTTCTTAACCTGAAGCACTATTTCTGGGTTAGCGCAGTCTGTAACCTGAAGCGTATGTAACCTGAAGCGTATGTAACCCGAGGTACCACTGTATTTTCTGCTTTTGCCTTATAACTGTAAGAACACCAGCAACCTCTTTACATTGCAAGTCTGCAGGTGGGACTTGCTTTTAACATCATCCTTGTACAATGCCTATGTTTTCAAGACACTTTGTCAAGACACTACATTATGATTACTGCCACAGCCACCCAGTGAGATTTACAGGCGGATGGCTACATGAATGTTATTGGCCCAGAGATGGAAAGAAGATAAAGTTCCTACCAGAGAAGAATGGCAGATGAAGTTGATGGACTATCCAGCGGTTCTCAACCTCTGGGTCCCCAGATGTTGTTGGACTACAACTCCCATCATCCCTGAGCTCTGGCCTTGCTAGCTAGGGATGATGGGAGTTGCAGTTCAACAACATCTGGGGACGCACAGGTCGAGAAAGGCTGGACTATGGCGAAATGGTTAAATGACAGAAAGAATCAGAAATCAGGAAGACCAAAATTTTAATAAGGAATGGGGGGAAAATAGAACTTATCTTAAAGACCATTGTAAACAGTTAAAATCCTTAGTAGGATTGGAATACTACTTGTAGTTAAGGGTAAATTCTGGATACAATGGAGATGTAAAAGATTTGGATCATCATAAAAGATGCAGGAGGAAAGGATTAATAATAGGACCCACAAAGGGGAGGATGGAAGTCCAGGAGATTCTTTAGAATCTTGTTTTTATGATTTATGTTTGATATATCTCTGTAAATTTTTAATTTGAAAAACCAAATAAATAAATATTTAAAAAAGAGATTCATGGGGATGGAGTCTGAGGAACCATTCTCTAGAACCACTGAGGAGGCTGTTTCCTGTCACTAAAAAACCATTTATCTAAATCAACTCCTTCTCCAACACCATTATCTTACCCTTACTGTTCTGCTCAATTCTGGCTTCCCTCAATATTCTTCTGGACTGTGAGTGGACATCTCACCACATGCAGAGGAGAAATACAGACAACCAAGCTAACTTAAGAAAAGCCAATTTATGAAGTATCAGGTCAACACAGAGTCACAGTTCCAGAACCACCTAGGCTCTAGCCATAATATCCAGCCCAACACACCATACCCATCAACTGTCTAGGGCATCCAGTTTTGGGGGACCGTTTTCTCATGCAGGTCACATGACTCACACGGAAGTGCGGCCCTGGAAGATGGCCGTCCTGGTTTTCCAGTGGGACGTGTTGGAGGCTATGCACACTGGTCAGGGGTCCCTGCATCTATCTCTTAAATGAGGTGTAGAAGACATGCTAATTAATCCAGAAGGCGGCAGCTAGACTGGTGACTGGGAGCAGCCGCCAAGACCATATAACACCGGTCCTGAAAAACCTACATTGGCTCCCAGTACGTTTCCGAGTACAATTCGAAGTGTTGGTGCTGACCTTTAAAGCCCTAAATGGCCTCGGTCCAGTATACCTGAAGGAGCGTCTCCTCCCCCATCGTTCAGTCTGGACACTGAGGTCCAGCTCCAAGGGCCTTCTGGTGGTTCCCTCACTGCGAGATGTGAGGTTACAGGGAACCAGGCAGAGGGCCTTCTCGGTAGTGGCACCCGCCCTGTGGGACGCCCTCCCAGCAGATTTCAATGAAATAAACAACTATATGACTTTTTAGAAGACATCTGAAGGCAGCCCTGTTTAGGGAAGTGTTTAATGTTGGGTGCTTTATCGTTGTTTTTAATATTCTGTTGGGAGTTGCCCAGAGCAGCTGAGGAAACCCAGACAGATGGGTGGAGTACAAATATTATTATTATTATTATTATTATTATTATTTTGTGACCTCACCCAGTCTTTGTGCTGTGGCATACATAGGCATTTACTGCATGGAGTGCCACTGTCTTCATACTCTGGCAGCTACTACTGGTAGTGTGAGGCTCCACTATGGTGATGGTCTATGCCAGTGGTCTGCAACCCGCGGCTCCGGAGCCGCATGTGGCTCTTTTACACCTTTACCGCGGCTCCGGGGCGGATACTAGCGAGGGGAGGAGGCGCACTGTGCGCCCCGACACTCCCCACTGTGGTGGGCGCTATACTGGCTGTGACGTCGCATGGGGGCGGTGCGTGCGTTAGTCACACACCGTCCCGACATCACCTTCCCACCTGCCCGCCCGCTACATTGTAAGGGGCATGTACGCTGGTCACTGCATTGAAAGGGGGCATGTACGCTGTTTTGAAGGGGAGTGAAGAACACACACACACAAAAAGGTAACTTGTTAATTTAACGTTTATTTCTATGAGGAGGAGTAATTCTGAGGGGTCAAACAAAGAAATAAAAAAAAAAGTGACATAAAAGTTATTTTTATAATGAGGAGTTTTGCGGCTCCCAGGTTTTTTTTCTTCGGAAACGGGTCCAAGTGGCTCTTTTTGTCTTAAAGGTTGCAGACCCCTGGTCTATGCTATAAATGATACAGAAACGGAAGGACGCCAGATGTCAGTTTTCCCCATGGCACCTGCAATATGCTCCAACCTCAAGGAGAGGCTTCTTTTCCCTATTTACTGGTAGCAGTAATGTAGGCCTCTTGTCCTGATGGGGATTAGGGGAAAGAGGACCACTTTAGTCATTCTGTTACTGGTTAAAGATCAAGGTGGGGAGGTATGAAACATAAGGAGGAGGAACTTCTAAATGCATCAAGCCCTGCGTAAGTGTGTGTAAGCTACCTAGCGCTATTACTCAGTGGCAGGACAAAGGAACTCTGCACATGCCCAGCAGCACTGTATTATTATTTCATGTTATTGCTATTTAGACAGAGCGTGGGCCCTAGAAATTGTTCCTTGCCAAGAACAAAAAACTGCCTGCACCACTTCCAGATACGGCCTAGGACCCTCGTACCTACGGGACCGCCTCTCCTGGTATGTCCCGCGGAGGACCTTACGGTCTTCAAACAAAAACACCATGGAGGGCCCGGGCCACAGAGAGGTTAGGATGGCCTCAACCAGAGCCAAGGCTTTTTCAGCTGTGGCTCCGATCTGGTGGAACGCTCAGTCACAAGAGACTAGGGCCCTGCGGGACTTGACATCTTTCCGCAGGGCCTGCAAGACAGAGCTGTTCCACCAGGCCTTTGGCCAAGGCACGGTCTGACCCCCTCCTTCGGTAATCCTCATAGAACTCTAGCCCAGTGGTTGCCATTAATTTGATTTGAACTGATTTTAGAATGAATTGATTTTAGAATGCTGTATTATTTTACTATTGTTAGCTGCTCCTAGCCCGGCTTTGGCTGGGGAGGGCGGGATATAAATATTTTTTTATTCTATTATTATTATTAATTCACTAGTTAGGTAAAGGACTAGATAAATTAGCTCATAGTCATATACATATATTAGCCAGGCTACAAGCATCTCATGGGTCAGTTAAAATTCACTAGCACTACCTAAAGCCTATAATCAGGGCTGATCTCTATGTTAGCTACAGACAGGCTTATCTCTATGTTAGCTACAGACAACTCAGTATTGCAAGACTCCATACACTACTCCATTTATTGATTCCGCAGGCAAACTCTGGCACTGGTTAGACTCACCTCGGGCTCTGAATTGCACCCTTGCCACTCTGTGGGTCTCCCTTCCATTTTGCCACCCCCAGCAGCATCCACACCTGGCAACCTTTGGTCCTCTAGATGCTGATGAACTGCAACTCTCATTGGCCCCACCAAGCATGGCCAACAGCCATGGATGATGGGAGTTGTATTTCAGCAACATGTATAAGGTGAAATGTTCCCCACACCTGTCTGTATCCTTTCCCCCTCTTCCCAACGTCTACACTTGGCTGTAGCACTGCTAGCAAGATACTTCATGTGCCTTCTCCATTTTGTCTACTCTGAAGTTCTCGGGCCTTCTCTTTACAACTCTTCCCTCAGCTTCTCTCCTTGCCACTGCTTGCTTCCTTATTTTCAGTAGCCAACACATCCACACTTGACCTCTGCTCCAACCTCTTCCTAGCTTCCTACCAGGGGCTGTTCCTTGTACCACCGAGACAAATTTCACTGCTCCATTTTAGGAGGATCATTTATCCTCCCCTCAACTGCAACCCCTGAAAAGGGAGAATATACTTCCTCTCGTTTCTGGGGAACAACAGAAAATACCTCCAAGTTTTCATGGGCGAAGGAACGGCTGGATTTCCTTAATTAAATCCTGTTTTTGAACAAGTCCCAGAGCAAGCATGAAGCACCTAAGAACCTCCCCATTCTGCCGTGGTTCCTCTGCTAGTGGTGACCAGGAGTTCCCCTTGGCATATCGGCCTGCCTCCAGCAGAAAACAGGACCAGAAGATCCTGGCACGCCTTGCAGAGACGATGGGCAGCCAGGTGATTTCCACCCCCAATTTTAAAACAAAAACAAAAACAAACCACGACCTCATTTACGTAAGGCAAACCAAGCCCTTCCCCACAACCACCACCACACACACACTAGATAAAGTCTCCTGCACCACCTCTGGTTTGTGAGTGCTTTCTTTTCATTCCCATTCTAAATTGCTGAAAAAAGCTGGGCCAAAAATCCTGGCCCTGCTCTAGTCGATGGCCTCAGATTCCTCTTCTTTCTGTTCCTGCTGGTGCCTTGGAAGCTCATTCATTTCTAGCAACCCAGCCCCATGCTCTCCCGTGCCAAGAAACCCAAAGTCTGCCTTCCCAGTAAATTATGCAGATGTTTCCACTAACATAGGAAGCTGCTATGTAAAGGCCATTGGTCCATCTAGTTCAGTTTGGCGAGGTTTCAGACTGGGATCCTTCCCAGCCCTACCTGGGGATACCAAGAGCTTGAAGCTGGGGGCTTCTGCATGCTAAGCAAATGGTCTCTGTCTTTACATGCACTTGCGAGATGTGCATCCTATATCCTGGTTGCAAAACAGAACATAGTCTCAGAATGTCAAATGTTCTGTCGGGAATGGGAGGGCAAAGGACAAGGAAGAAGTGTGGGATGTAACATAAGCAGTCAAATACAACATTTCCTGTTTGCCTAGAGTGGACATGCAGGGAATGTCGGTCCAACCAGTTGAACTTCCTGTTACACCTGGTCTGGAGCATCCTTCCTTGGTAAGGTGGGCATGATCCTTCCAGACCCCACAAAAGGTCCAGTCACATAGCCACTTTCCTTTTTTGATGCCTTTTCGTCTCTTGGACTACACTGTGGCTCTCAGCCAGCAGCATGTGGGATGAATTCCCATATGAGATGAACTAAAACCCTCTTCTGTAACTCTAAGCTAAAGCCTGCCTTCAGGGCTCCAACTGTGAACTGAATGTGAGTAAACTTATTACCTTTAAAAGAAGACTGTTGTGTTTTTATTCTTTTAGGAGGGAATCAAAGGGGTCTTACCAGGAATAGTAGAACTTAAGAGATTCTAATGAATCTGCAACTAGCTTCCTGCTGTGTAAAGAGGGGAATGTACTCTGCTGTGTGAATAAACTCACTAGCGTGAGTTAGGAAGGATAATATTTAATCAATATATCCTCTCCTGCTACCCACAACATTCCAACAAGAAGTGCAGACATGGCTGTGTGGGTGGCAAAAGGAACGAGGAAATAAGAGATTTAGGAGAACCAGAAGTTCTACCCCTTCCCTACATTTAGTTTCTGATCTTTCAGGTGACATTGTTTGGACACACTTTTCTTGGAAACCATGTGGGCTAGGAATCTTTTCAAAACAAAGAAGTGAAAGCCCTATGCTCTCGCTCGGTGAAATTTTGCACATCAAAATCACATCTGTAGAATTAAGGGTCTACTAGAATAAGGCAATTCCTGCCCACCTAGCAGTTCAAAAGCACCCCTAAGTGCAAGTAGATAAATAGGTACCGCTTTATAGTGGGAAGGTAAACGGCGTTCCCGTGTGCTGCGCTGGTCTGGCTCGCCAGAGCAGCTTCGTCACGCTGGCCACGTGACCCGGAAGTGTCTCCGGACAGCTCTGGCCCCCAGCCTCTTAAGTGAGATGGGCGCACAACCCTAGAGTCGGACACGACTGGCCCGTACGGGCAGGGGTACCTTTACCTAGAATAAGGCAATTAGCAGCCCAATACCCAAGCAAGTGGACTTGGAAGCAAATCTCGTTGATTTATGTGGGTTTATGTCCAAGTTTACTTTGAAGTGTGCTCTCACAAGTTGAAATTTTGCACATCAAAAGCACACCTGTAGAATTAAAGGTCTACTAGAATAAGGCAATTAGCAGCCCAACACCCAAGCAAGCTTACTTGGAAGCAAATCTCGTTGATTTATGTGGGTTTATGTCCAAGATTACTTGGAAGTGTGACCTACTGACATTTACTTGGAAGTAAGCTCATTTGAACTCAGTAGAACTTACTTCAAAGCAGTCATGGGATCGGGCCATGTTACTTCTCCAGATGACACTTATCAATAATTGTTCCTCAGGAGATCTTGTTTAGTACTGGCTCTTAACTGTTAAAAATGACCATAGAACTTCATCAGTCAACTTGCACCCAATCCTACATATTAGGAACTTGTGAAAGCAAGTTCCACTGATTTCAGTGAGATATACTTCTGGTTGCTATGTTAAGGATGCGAGCACCAACCACTTACTCAAAAGTAACATTGTTAAAGAGAATTTATGATGTGAGAGGAGGAATCCATTTTACATTGTGGGTTTCACCAGTTGCTTATTAATAAAACAAACCTACTTCTGTTTTCTGTGGAAAAGATGTTTTTAGAAGTGCAACTGATGACACAAATGGCTTGGTCAGCAGATCAAAATGTCAGCTGCAACAAGGGATTGCAAGAAAGACAGATGAATACAGGACACTTTAGAAAATACAAATTTTATTTGTAGCTTCCGGTTGCAGTTACTAACGCTGCCATTTTTGCAGAGGGCCATTATTTCACAAAACACATGGGCATTGTGCAGTTTTGGAACTATGCTTTTAACAAAAACTGAAATATTTATTATCTTCTACTCTCTTTTGATACATGGGGGGAGGGGAGCAAGAAAGGCTATGAACAATATTGCAAGCAGAAGATTCCACAAGTTTGGGCAGTATTTGTAAACAGCATGCAGCAAGGGGACTGGCAGATCTGTGTTTTTTTTTGCAGAGCAGTGTTGTGTGATGTGCTTCCCTAACAGTTATTTCACTAACAAATTTCCTGTGTTACCCAATCAGCTGTTTTGACAAGTTAACATGTGGGGAGCTGCTGGCTTCCTGTCAGCAGTTTTACTTGACTGGGGAAAGCAGCTTTCACCATTAATATGCAGCCACTAACAGGTGACAAAAAAACAAGTGGTAGTGGTGACTTCTTTCCTTCGATTCATGCTCCTCCTCTCCATCTAAAACTTCACTTTCTGTTTTCTTCTCCAAACCAGCTGTGCTGTTCAGCAAAACAAAGGGAAATAATCCTACCCACATTCTATATGTCTGACCAACTATTGATCAGTTATTGGGTCGATACACTAGGCATTCCAAAAGCACAAATCCTTTTGCTTTGAGGATTTGGGTTGTGTGCATTTTTACTGATGTCTGTTTGTTTAGGTGACTGATTAACCCGCAGTGAGATGTATGTGTGTGTGTGTGTGTGTATATATATATACATATGTGTGTGTGTGTGTGTGTGTGTGTGTGTATACTACTACAGCTGTTGTTAAAATATACCATGCTACTGTTTGCACTCTAATAAATCTGGGAATCTTGTGCCAGCCTTTAGCAAAGTCCCCTCCCCTCTTCCTCCACTCTGAGACTGTGGTTCTCAGATATATTCTGTCACTTGGTGTGTTTTTTTAATGTCCTGTGGGCAAGGCAATAAACTGTTGATGGACTGACTCTGAGGCCTGTGGACAGACATTACCCAATCAGCATTCCAAGACATCTCAAAATCCAGTGTTTGGCTGGATCGACAGTTCTAATACATATATATATATGTATTTAGTTGGGCTTAGAAGTAGCAATTCAGATGTGACAGCTCCTGTGTGTTGGCAAATTCTTGATTAGATCTGTGCCTGGGTAAAGCTGCAAATCCAACCAGTTCATCACTGTGGTTTCCTCTCGACTAACCAGCCAAGGTTGAGCCTGGTCATTTGCATCATCCTCCCATGTGAACAAGACAATGTTAACACACATAGGAGCATGGTAAACTTGTCGTCTCAATTCCCACATTGTGCGTAGATGTTTGTACCTCCCAAACTGCTGTGTCTAAGCAAATGGTGCTTCTGCAGATCCTTCCCCCAGCTCTTATAAATGGAAGAATTTGAGTATGATGCCAAGGTTTCCACCAGGAACCAAAATCTGAGTGTGGGCTCACTACTAAACTAATTCATCCGTATTATCCTGCCCAAATGCTGTCTGTGGAAGGTTTTGCCACACTTCAATTGCAGATGTGGGGGGGGGGAATGGGCATCTGTATCCACCGTACAGTACATCTTGGTAAATCCCATTTCTTGAAATGAATGGAGAGAAGGTTGGAAAGAAGAGAACTAAATGAAGAAAACAGGACTGTATAGGAAAAAATGCCAGAGAGGAGGAGAGTGTCTCCCTCTAGGTGGAGGAATTTGGCAGACAGTGTCAGCCGGGGTGCTTCCTATAGCGACAGATTCTTCACAGTATCATTAAACACGGACTTTAATTGAACTAGGTACACGGAAGTTGCCTAATTGTCCTCTTCTAATGGATCGGCCTCATTAGTGCAGTTCATTTGGTACCCCCAAAAATGTTTGCAGAAAAGATGGCCAGCCTAGCAGATAAGAGACAGGGTGTGGAGAAACGCATTGAAATGGTTGCCCCTATTCTTCAGCACAGTTCTTTGAAGGCCATTTTGCAAAATACTAGACAGTGAAGATTTTCCACAGCCTACACCCCAGCATGGCCATTTCTTTACCCTTCCCCCCCCACCCCCATTCATCTAGATTAGAAGCAATTTTTTCACTGCTACATTGGAAAAAGGAGTTGTGATAGTATGGCTGGACTGATGCACAATCTTAACAGCGAACAGAGATCACCACCGCTTAATATTAAGCAGAATTTCATTCACATGGATTTGTAAAATTGATGCTGAGTCTACAATCTCCCTCTCCCTCTGCCCCTTTAAATCCACTGGAGCATTTAACAAGGTGCTTATGCAAGATGGATCTGCTGGCAAAAAAAAAAAAGGATTCCCTCCAATGCTTTCCTACAGGTCTGGGGAGATCCTTATCTCAAGATGCCTGCCTTTGTTCTGCCAATTCTGATAAGTGCCTGACTAACGATGGAGAGACTTGCCTCGTCCGTCTTCCCCACCCTGCTCTGCTACGCATGCGCGAGGCGAAGACAAAGGAATAGGTAATTACAAGAGAGTTTCATTCATTTTCCCTGCAGTATCGCCAAAAGAGGAGCCCAGCTGGGAGGTTTTCTCACCCAACACCGACCCGGTGTCGTAGACGACGTGTGAATGCGCTGGCCTCGGGGACGGCTACTTGAAAAGGCATCCCCCCAAAAAAGAAAGCGTGGTACCCGGGAGCCTCATCTCCGGGAGCCACTAAGATGCGCTCGTTTTCATGTGCCATGATTCGGTGGCTAACGCAGCAGAGGGGTGGAGAAGGGAGAGAAACTGCAGGATCTCTGATTTACAAGAAACCACATTCGCTTGGGGGTGGGGAGAGGATGCCAGGAGGGGGCTTGCTATGCATATTCATGGCGGAGAGGACGAAGCCACGGGGATCCATGCAGTATTCCTAAACTCCATAGAGATGATGTAGATCTTTTCATTAAAGCAAAAAAAATCCCCAAGCCAAGACACACAAACGCTTCTGGTCTTGCAGGCTTTGCATTTAAGCAGGGTGGGAGATTAAAATGTTTGTGGCCACTGCTATCATATCCCCCCCACCGCGCCCCCTCCTCGTCTGTCTTTCTTTTTCACCCCACACTCCTGACCAATAATGAAACCAGAAGCTCTTTTCTTCAGGATCGCCTAAGCAAGAACAATCGCACAGTGTAACACCCCAGGATGGTTTTAAAATAAAAAATTGGCAGGCGTCCACTTTACATCTCGCCCGCCCTCTGCTAAGAGAAGATTGAAGGGGTGATTTAAAAAGAAGGAGGAGGGGAAACACGTTTAGCCAAAATACACACGCACAGATCGTTTAGGAGTTTTCTCCAAAGTGTTCCACAGGTAATATAACTGCGAAAAACCATCCTTTCAAGCCCAAGCTGAGGCTCTCATGCCATGTTATCTCGCTTTTACGCTCTTCCCCCCTCCTTCCTCTCCCCCCTCCCCTGCATGATCTTAACATGGATGTATGCCCCCTCCCCAATATGCCTTCTTCGAGATATCCATGCTATGCAGTCTATATTTATTTATTTATTTGTTTATATGGTACATATAGAGATATATATTAAAAAGATGGGGAAAGAAATCTGTAACATCCTCTCCAAAAAAAAAAAAAAGTGGTGGTTGTAAAAAAATTAAAGAGAAAAACAACCCCAAACCCTCCACCCTGATTCCCCACATCCATCCCTTTCTCCATCATGCCATCTCTCCAGCCCCTGGAGGTCTCCATGCAAAGATTTCAAGACATAGGCACTGACTTAAAATTTCTCCCTTTCATAGAAACCCATCGCCCAGGCATTTGGCTACCTAGATGTTGCTTCTCCCTTTTTTAAATATATATATATATATAAATCTCCCAACACACATACACACGCATATTAAATATTTCGAGAGAACAAGCGGTTTTCATTTTTGGAGGCGGGGGCGTTTGTTTCAACAGCAATAAGAACCGGATCGAGCAGCTGGCTGCCGCGTAAAAAACACAGAGGGGGAAAACAAGAAAATCCAAATTCTCTCCAGCCTCTCGGATGGCTCTTACCTCGTTCCTTTGCTCCTCTGTCCCCTTTGGCGCGGCTGCGAGGCTGGGGTCACAAAGAGAGAGAGAGAGCGGGGTCCCGGCTCGCCCTGGCGCCCGCTGAGTCTCGCCGGAGATCTCCCTCGCTCGCTGGCTGGGAGTGTAGTGGCTGGAGCTGTGGCTGCTTGGAGTAACGCCGGCGCCGCCGCTACTGCTGCCGCTGCATTTCTCCCCCTCCCTCCCGCTTCTCTCGGTGACAGTCTGTGGGCAGTTCAAAAGCCACACATGCACACGCACGCGCGCGCGCACAGACACGCGCACCGGGTTTGGTTCCTCTCTCTCTCTCCTCACCCCCTCCGCGCGCGCGCGCACCCACCCACCCCTCCCTCCTTACCTTTTTTTTTTTCTTCTCCCCCCCCCCCCAATTATTTCACCCAAAGCTCATCAGCTTCAAGAGATGCCTCCTTTCGCCCTTAGGGGGCGGTCCCGAGCCAAGGTTTTAAATATCCGCTTTGCGCGTTTCAAGACGGAGTCTTGTTTTGGAAGGCGCGTAAACATGCCCACCGAGCTTCCAGCCCCCACGTGAAGGGATGGATCCCGCGGTGGGGAGGAACAACAAGGGCAGATCTCTCTGCTGGTGGATTCTGACTCCTTTCCTAAGAGATCTTTCAAGCCTTCAGAGGTGCTTTGTACTTCGCTTCCCCTGCCTCTGTATATATTACTAATATTATTGTGGTTTTTACGCACGGGGCGGAGCGCAAGCGGTCGTCGTCGTTGGCATTCTGGCACCGCGCGGCTGGATGGGGAATGAGAGAGACGCGCGCCAGCAGAACGGGCTTCTTCTGCGCGCTCTGGGCTTCCTCGAAGGAACGGCAGCTTGTGACCAAAGGATGGCAAACGCGGATGGCGAAGGGATGAGGAGAGGACCACCCCGGGGAGGCTTCCGCGCAGGGGTGCGCGGCGTGCTGCGTGGGGTTGCAGGAGGGACGGAATGCTTGCCTTTAAAAGTGCCACTTGCTTGGGACATCGAGGAAAACCTTCCTCTGGTGATGGGACGGTTGTGAGACAACGGAGAGAGGGCTGCGTTTTAATCTCGAAAGCATGGAGGCAACTCTACTCGAAATAGTGTGGGAAAAGGATGCTTAGGAACTGGAGTATGGACGTGTTGTAAGGGCAGGCAGGATACTTCGCCATGCATGAAAGATGTGTATGAACTGTCTGAGATATAAGCAACCGTTTATTAAACTAACTACAAATTGTCTCCTAATATTCTGCAAGCTGGCGACCGCCCCCTCCTTCAGTGAGCAACGTGAAGGCAACGATTTTGTGTTTTTTTCTATCACAGAGCAAGCAGTGCGTGCGGTTAGCATGCTGCTAAACAGAGATTTTTATTTATTGGCGTGGGGTTTGTATTTGTAGTTCTGTAGCGCCCTCTGCTATTTAAATGACTGCATAGCAGGACATATTTTTAATGATTTTTTTTTAGTTAAAATAATGGGGCATTAAACTTTGCATATTTTATTGAAGAATATTCAGAAATGAAAGTGAAGCTGTCCACAAAGTATATGCCAATCTGAAAAACTGCTTAGAATAAGCAGATCTATTGCCACATGACATTGGCTAAACAATTTCAAACAATTGCAACATAAAGATACAAGCCAAAATCTTGTTTTTCAAAATATTTTTATAAAATATACATATATGGTAATGTATTGTTGTTTTTGGTTCATTATGAAAAGTACAACACAAAATTGTGCCTGCAAATTGAAGAGCAGGAATTCTATACAAAGCAATTTAATTAACCTGAAGCTGATAAAAGTAATTTGTACTAAGAATTTTGTCTAAGGCACCTGTTTCATTGCTGATATATATTACACCAAAGCATGGTTTCATGCATGGCACCAAAAACACTTGCATTTCCTTCATCTGTAATGTGAATGTAAAATTGCCTAGAATGTATACTGAATTTCAAATGGCATTTTCCCCTCTCTCCTGCACTGATTTTCATACATATCCACAGCAACAATATGAGAGGCTCAAAAGTGCTTTGTTTGCTCAGAAGCAAGTTCCATTTAGTACAATGAGATGTACTCCCTAGTCAGTGTGCTTAGCAGCCTATTCATGTTTTACTAGAAGAAAGTCCTATTGTGTTCAATGGGACTTACTCCCAGGTAAGGTTTGCAGCATCAGTGATGTGCGCAACACACCCTAGCATAATTTCTTCTGAAATCAGTGGAAATTACTCCAGTAGCTTCTGCCAGTGGGCTAGGATGAAAGTTTGCAACTTTCATGGATTGAGTATATATTATACTGGATCCAACTTTCATGGATCCAGTATAAAAAATATAAGGCACTGAGGAAGGAGACAAAACACTGCATAGCACAGCTACATCAGAATGGTAAATGGGTCCTTTCAAATTCAAAGACTTAATATTCACATATTCTGTTCTATACCATAAAGCTTGTCAGGAATGCTCATCCAGTATTTACTTAAGCTTTGGTAAACGGAATTGGTATAGAAAGCTTAACAGGTGATCAAAAATACAGAATAATTGGATCCCAAGATTTCTGGTAAAGGGAAAAAAATGTTGTGAAGAATTCATTGTTTCAGTGTACAGAGCTACATGGCTGCAGAAGCAACAAACCTGTTAGAATTATTTACATATAAATCACCACCAACCATATTAGAACATACGGAAGTAGCTTGTACGATCGAGAAGAAAAAATGCACTGGAAAATGCAGCTCTGTTTTCTTAGAGAGAGTGATAGAAAAAACTATTAATTTCTCATTTGTAGTAAGCATGCTAGACAAATTCCAGCTGCCAAGAGCTATGCCAATAAAACAATGTTCACCTAGTCGGCGTTCTGAAGAAATGCACACAAGCAAAGTTGCTCCATTGATATATCCCCATTCAAATATCCAATGAATCCGACTCTTTATTTTAGAGTTTGCCATGCCACATCATTCCCCAAAACGCACACGTACTAAGTAACTGGCTCCGTTTTCCTGATGGAGACAGCAAGCCCAGCAGACAGCGTGATTGGAATATAGATCTACTCATTGCTATGGAAACAAGAGACAAAGCCTGCATGAGGATTAAGAAATGCAAATCCACTAGAATGTGGTTTGTGCCTTCCTATTAAGCTGTCCCTGCACAGGCTATAAAAGACCTGTAATATATTTATGTATGAGTAAGTGACTGGTATGAATTGATAAAACCGTTAACTCCAGTATTCAAATTATTGTAAATCAGTGCTAAATGTCATTTATTTGTTTCTCCTTGACACCAATGTACGGTTAACTACCTTGTAAAAATCAATTCAGAAGTGTCCTAAGCATGAATAGCTAACACATTTATGCATTAGCCTTCTAAATATATTTGTGAAAAGATTTTTCTGCAGCCATAGCTACTACATTTCCACTGAGAAAGCAGTATTTCCCCCTTGGAAAGCTGGCAGCATTTTGACATGTTTCCTGGACTCTAGATAGACTATGCTACCCCATTTATCCAGAGTGCTTTGAGGAGTGTGGTCTATGGCTGCAATCCTATACCACTTACCTTTCCTGAGCAAGGTTCTGGAGCAAGTGGTTGCAGACCAGATCCAGGAGCTTTGGGAAGAAACTGATTTTCTGGATCCATTTCAATCGGTATAGGCCCGGTTTTGGCACAGAAATTGCTTTGGTCATCCTATATGACGACCTCTGTCGAGAGAGAGACAAGGGAAACCTATCCCTGTCAATTCTTCTCGACCTCTCAGTGGCTTTTGATACCATCAACCATGTTATCCTTCTGGAGCGACTCTCAGAACTAAGTGTGGGTGGCACTACTTTGCAGTGGTTCCAGTCCTACTTGGATGGTTGCTCCCAGAGGGTGTTACTTGGGGAGTGCTTTTCATCCCCTTGGAATCTTCAATGAGGGGTTCCGCAGGACTCAATCCTATCCCCTATGCTGTTTAAAAGATGTTGTTGGACTCCAACCCCCATCAGGACCAGACAGCATAAGTGATGGTCAGGGATTATAGGAGTTAAGAGTCTAAGAGCAACTGGAAGACCACAGATTCCCCTGTTTTATAGCTGAAGGTCTAATCTAGATTTGCATTTGAGTCAAAATTAGGCCTGCTAATAAGAGCATACTGTTCCATGTCAGGAGACGGTACCGGCCCATAGCTAACCTCATAAGCAGAACTCCAAAGCATAGGAT